ATTCCAAATGACGAATTTCATATTAAAACTTAGATTATTAAGAAACAAATCACTACTAATATTTCTGTTCCAAGCTCTTGGTTGATCATTTTGTTAGAAAAAAGAGAAAGTTCATGTAGTAATAAAGTACTTCCTTACTAAACACAGTGCAAGGCGTCATTGTTATATCATTAGTGACGCATTGAAAGTGTTCTTGCGGGTGTAAAAAGTCTTCTCTCAAGACAAAAAAATTAACAATAGATTCAGTCAACTGTAGATCCTTATTGACATTTGTTACGATAATTTACTGTACAATCTTGAATAATTTGATTATAATTTTAAGCATTCCAATGGAATAATATTCTTTGCAAGCTGGGGCTTTTAGTATCTTAGGAATTTTTTAGGATTAATGCTTTTAGTTTTGAGCACAGGCTCAACTAATTGCATGAATGATATTTAACTGTATTTTTGTACCCCACCCTTTTTTGGAACGTACATTTGCATACATTTGTGTCAAGCTGCGCGGAAATTGGATTTAATTAAATGTACTACGGGAGATGCGCACCGACGATGCAGCGACTTTTAATCTAGCTTATACTACTTAATTTAGTGCATTAAAAGTACAAGATGTTGATAAAAAATGTATTTCAAGATTGCCATATAAATTGATGGTTCTACATCCAAGAATGAAAGAATCGATTTTTTCTCAAACCTAAAATAAGTTTGAAACAATAAGTAAACTAGGACATTCTTTTGTCAATTATGAAAAGAATAAATTCAATGCCCGCACAATGTCAACCTTTTGAATTACGATAAGAACTTCGGCAACGAAATCTCAGTTCATCAAATTTTTCTTTACTATTTTCTCAAACAAAATAAGCTCATCAATTGAGCTATGCCGTACAATAAAAAACAATAGTGGCTAATGCTCATTTTTTTTTTGCAAAAAAAAAAATCAACCGATTCGCATACTACATTTGATTTTCATTATGATTTGTAATCTGATCACATGTGAATAAATTGTTTTTAATCAGAATAAAAATCAGTTCAATAAATATTTTGGCATTGAGCAAAAAAGTTTCGATTCTTTTCTATTATGGTGCATGTAACTCACGGTCGGTGAATTGATGTTGCATGAGCTTTAAAGGCTCTACGCGGACAATGGTAAATAATGAAATACAAATTGTTGTCCTGCTGTGAAATGCATGTGCCGCTATTACCGTTGAGTAATGGTAAAAATGTTGCTGACCGTGCGTACAAATGTGCCATACATCATAATTTTTTTTGCATGCTTAGGACAACTAGTCTTTGTTAAAATTAAACCTTACATTTCACGAGACGTGCAAATATTATGTAAATATAAAAATTTATCCAATAAAGGGCAAAACTCTAATCTAAAACGTAAAACGTCTTACCAAGATTACTATTACTTTGAGGGCATGTTTTATCACAATAATTTTCTTCAAAAAATGATTAATGCAGAATAAATTCTTAGAAAGCAACGAGCATGTGTACACGCGATGCAAATGAACTCGGAACAGGTCGAAGAAGCGATTGAATTACAAAATGTCACGTCACCGACAACTTTGTTATTTGTACACCACCTCCCGACGTATAAAAACGCAAGCGAGGTGAATACGCACTCCGGGCAAACGCATAAAACGATAATGAGAATCGATAACAGTGCTTAGAGAGAACTCGATTTACTGCTTGCTTTTCCTTCCCCTATCTATGAATGTGTGTATATATATATTTATTCCACAATGAGACGAATTATTATCATTATTTTTTAAGGGAGGGTGTAACGAGAGAAAGAAACGAATAAAGGGGACCGCAAATATGTTTATACATGCTGTTCCACTGTAATTTCCGACTGCCTCGGTATATAAAGAAAAAAATGGCACTACTCATTAGATTTTCTTTCTTTTTTATTTAATTTTTTAATTTTTCGTTATTTTTGTTAATATAGATCCGTTAACGATTTTTCAATAACAGTTTTTCGTTCGTAAATAAAATTCGTAAAAAATGATTGGTGGAAAGTATCGAGAACACTACCCATAGATCATTGATCAATTACAATTTAGAATATTCCTATTTCACATTCATGAAAAACTACCAGATCAGAGTGTCTGTTAGTTATAGTTTTATTCACCTTTTGATTGAGTACTGCATTCAGATTTACAAAAACTACTTAAAAGCGAGTCTTCACTTACATAATACTATACCCCGACACTTCATCGTTACTCCCGTACTCGACATAATCCCTAGGTATTTTTATTTTTACCGTCTTCAACAGTTTTACGCCATCAAAAAAAAAAACACCTGCACTTGTAAACCGGAAGTACACACACGAAGTCAAGGGTCACGCGCAATGACTTTCCGTGTAGGATATTATCCACTATATACACTAGTACGTAAAAAAACTTAATAATGTTCTGCGTTATATATATTACAATATACTTAGCGCCAGATCGTTTTTTAGTAAATTGGGTAAAGTTATAAACAAAATTTTAAATAAAAAAGAAGAAAAATGAATATTTCTCATTTTTTAACTGTGTATTATTACAAAATACACGTATAAATTATATAGTGCCTTAAAATTGAATAGCAACCTGACTGAATTTTAATTTCGAATTTCCACTTATTATCTGTTCCATAGCTTTACAGTCAAATAAGTAAACGGATGCATATTCTCAATATTTTGCAAATAAGTTGATTACTTACATGCGCGATATTGTAACTGTTTGAGATTTAAAATGTAACGACTTCAGTTTCAATCAATGATAAGCACGATCGTCCTCTTTTCTCGTTGCTTGATTTGCATGCCCATAATCATTCAATACCCGTATGCAACCTTGAAAAAATTCTCCAACTCCGAACACACGGTGCTAGAAGCACATTGAAAGCGCACATAAGTAAGCTACTTTATATGATAAGATAAAAAAAAACAGTTGCTCCAGATTTTTTTTATTTCTCTCGTGTAGAATATATCGTCGCGTGTTCGAGCGCACATAAGTTTTAATAGTTCAAGCTGTAAAATTCAAATGAGAATAATGAGAGCAAACGGTGCCGAGCAACTAAAAGAATTGTCTCGTAAAATATACGTATGCATTGGAGCGCATTGCCAAGATTTAACATTACTCACGAGAAGGATGGTAGATTGACTTCTTCAAATATAATTTTGACCAAAAAATTGTTTAAGGAAAAATAACATGTAAAACGCTGATGTAGCGCAATTTACGCCATCAATTATTTATGTGCTTTCGCTCATTTTATGACGTCGTTTTCAATTTTATCCTTGTTATTCATGGTTGTACGACATGTACACTTGTGAAGCACCAACCAAGTAGAATACTGATATTACGAAGCATACATTTACGTGCACACACATGCGAGTACACATGTGCTTATGTGTGTGCGTGTAGGAGCACGTTATGTAAAGGAAAATTGCACGTGTATGCGATCCACTTATTGAGACGTGCAGTAGACAGTATGGGAGGAGTGTCTCTTTGTACAATACTTTACTCACGGGAATTTTTTGTCATCAGTTCTCGCGGATTAAACGCACGCCGTGTCGTTTGTTTTGTTTGTTTGCGTGCAGATCATTTCACCAAAGATTTTTCATTGAAATCAAAAGTACATGCTCGTCAATTGTAGCACAAGTTTTTGCACAATAATCATCATCCAACACCATACAGTGACCTATCGACGTGTCGGTGCGCGAGAGTTGAAAAATTTTATATCGACTATACAGTGCAGCACACGAGACGCTAAGCCGCGTGCTAGAGGACATGAATACATTTTTGCACGCATAAAGCAAAAAGGGCTTCTCGTTCAATTTAACGCTAGGCTTTCGCACTCTGTGAAAGTCGACATCGACTTTGATTCGCTCTTTCTCTCATTTCCTTAATAGGATCGACATCAATCTTTTCTACAAAAAGTGACTTCTTTCGTCGGGTGGCACTGGTAAACGTTTCATCTCAATTTAACTCCACACATTGCAATATAAAATGCAATTTGCACTCGATAGTCGCGATTGATGACGATTTTGGTTTAAAAAGCTGTATGTGAGTCACGACGGATTATACAGGGCGTTATCTTCATTCCATATTTGGATCCGACTTGATGAATTGACCAAACCTACACAAATACGTGAACAAGCGCAGCTTACATAAAAAAGGGGACGAGGGAACGCAAATCGTGAATGGAATATATCTTACTCTATCCTCTGATGAGCTACGGTGGCATCGACCTGTTTATGCAAGCACAAGAGCATATCGATAACAGACTTATTGATTAATTTTATGCAAACACTGTAGGCTTTATATATTTCTCCTCGTATCAAACGCGTTAAATTTCTTTTATAAAAAAATTGTATCCATTCAAATTCTAACTAATTGCAATTTTTAAAATTTATTTTAATGGTCTAATGTTAATTAGGATTTCTCACTTATACCGTCAATATAAATGATTCGAGATTTATATGTCTTAGTTAAGAAGAGCAAAATTCAGAAAAAATATTTTCCTAGTTCTGCTGGCTAAGTAAACAAAGTGAGTTTCATCATATACTATATGAGCGCACTCGTGTGGAAACCAACGCCCATACCATCGTATTCAGTATACTATTTTATCATCGTGTATATACTGATTCATACAAACCATTACTATAATGAAAGATTTTGAATACGTTTTTAATAATTTCTACAATATTTAATGTCTGATCTCATTCAATCTGTGTGAACAAAACTTACTCAATAATTTAATTTTATTAAATATTAATATAAGCACATTGCTAAGTGAAAAATAAAATATAACATTGATGAATCTAGTCTACTTTTAAGTGTTGTAAGACTTAATAATTGTTTCACGTTGCTTCTTTAGTGTTATAAAAAAGTATATCTTTAGAAATCGTACAAGTCTTTACTATTTAAATATTTCTTACACAATGAATTATTTTAATTTTTAAATATATTAAAAAATCATTTGTAATACAATTTAATTCATAAATAATTTAATTTCAGGGATTAACGCTTCAACATGCCTGAAGAAAGAAAACTAAGCGTCGGCCCAACAGAGGTTACGAATGAAAATGGTACCAGTTCTCCAAAAAAGAGTCCAATGAACAAGGGTAAACTAGCTCTGGCCAAAATCACTCTGTTGGATGGCTCTATCAAAGATTTTAATATTGAGGTGCGTCCAGTTATTTAATTTTTATTTTTACAAATATGCTCACAAATTAATTGACGATTAAATACGAACGAATTAATTTTTAACAGCGCAAAGCATTGGGCCATGAACTTTTGGATCGAGTTTGTCAAAGTCTAAACTTGCTCGAAAAAGACTATTTTGGCCTGATTTACGAAGACAAATACAATACGAGGAATTGGTTGGATATGGAAAGACGGATCTCAAAGTTCCTAAAACGTGAGTGTTTTTTCTCATAATCTAACTTGTATATGTTGAGAAATTGTAATTAAAAAATAAAATTTTACATTTTTATTTCAACAGATGAGCCTTGGAAATTTAATTTCGAAGTCAAATTCTATCCGCCTGATCCAGCCCAATTACAAGAAGACATAACGCGATATCATTTATGTCTGCAAATTCGAAATGACATTATTACTGGTCGTCTGCCATGTTCATTTGTCACACATGCGCTTCTTGGATCTTACCTCGTACAATCAGAAATCGGAGATTACAATGTTGAAGAACATGGGACGAACTATTTAAATGATTTCAAATTTGCACCGAGTCAAACCCCCGAGCTCGTTAAAAAAGTCCAGGATCTTCATAAAACGCACAAGTAATAATTTTTTTTACAAATTACGGGCTTTCTCTCGAAAGCTGAGATTATATTAATGAAGCTACTTTCATTCCTAAAATTACAGAGGTCAAACGCCTGCAGATGCTGAACTGCATTACTTGGAGAATGCCAAGAAACTAGCTATGTACGGTGTAGATCTTCATCCGGCCAAAGACTCCGAGGGCGTCGACATAACATTAGGCGTTTGTTCGACGGGAATAACTGTTTATAGAGACAGGCTACGAATCAACAGGTTCGCCTGGCCGAAAATTCTCAAAGTCTCTTACAAAAGGCATAATTTTTACATCAAAATTCGACCAGGTGAATTCGAACAGTGCGAATCTACAATTGGTTTCAAATTAGCGAATCATAGAGCTGCCAAAAGACTATGGAAAACGTGCGTGGAGCACCACACTTTTTTCAGGTAATGGTTATGAATTGCTTGATTTTTATTCATATGAAAAGCAGCATTTGCATTGATTGTACGATTTATGTTAGACTCATGACTCCGGAACCTGTTAAAAAAGTTGGATTATTGCCACATTTGGGAACGAATTTCCGGTATTCTGGCCGAACGCATTACGAAACGAAGAAAATTCCAATAGACAGGCAACCACCGAAATTCGAAAGATATCACAGTAATCGAAGAATAACGTCGCGAAGCATGGACAGTGAGTAAAAAATAAGCCGCTTTAACTCACGTCATTTCCCTTTCATGTAACTGCAATCGTTATAGGTTCGTCGCAACCTGTACTATCAGCTCTGGGAGGGAAAAATCTTGAGCCTTACAGTTCCGAGCCAAGCAAGCGTCACACCATGCCCTATGAACCAGAAACTTTACCCGCTATGGACCACATTGATCAGAAACCTAGCCCGATAAAGAAACAGAAAGATAAGGTAACAAAAATTAATTTCTGGGTTAATCTACAATTTTGAAACTACTAATCGTGGGGATGTTATCGAGCGCGTGGAATCCTTAAAGGAATGAGATCAATTATGCATTTGACTGTCAAAAAATTAGTCGAATCGGTCAAAATCGACTCAAAAATCATCCTCGGAGATCATCATTGATCGTCCATTAGTAAAGCATTCAATTATTTTATATTCGATTCTCATATCATTAAGATTAGTAATCATCGATAACAAGCTCTATGGATTTTTAATGCAATAGGTACTGACGAAAGTGAATGTTTTCAATTAACATTTTGAAGGATTTTCTTTTATACGCACGATTAATAAAAATGTGTAAAAACAAAGCACAACTCAAACGCTGTAAAATGCTTACTTTTTGCACTCTTTCAAATCAGCAATGTGAATTCTAAAATTTTCAAACAAAAAATAAATACATTCACACATCGATCTGTGGCCTGTGCGCCAATCTGTAGGGCTGATTAGTTTCATTTTATTATTTAACTAACTTACACTAACACCTGATAGCTCGCGCGAAAAACTAGCATCGGAACGACATCGGCCAGCAGTACAAGTAGCTTGGAAGGAGAATACGATGCCCGCAGCAAGGTATACAATGAAGAATCTCCACTTCTTTCTCTGTGAATGTTACACACGATAGAACTGATTATTAATTTTCGTTACGCACCGTTGAATCGTATTTTCTTCTATTATAGTGTCTTGTTAAATAAGGTTTAATGCAAAATTGTTTGGTGTTAACTGCGTGCGTTTGATACTAATTATTTTAAGGTTTAACATAGCTTTTGTGAAAATGGCTTTGGTTGAGTTGATTGTTTTTTATTATTTAGAAATTTAAAAACTCTTTTTCTTTATCTTATAATCTGAAAGCTTGGGTATCTTTTTCAATCACTATATTTCATACAATATAAAAGGTTTAGGGTATCTATTGAAAGTTTTCTATACATGAATGTCGTAAGGAAAATGTCTCTCTCACTCAATAACCATTCATTGATCTATTTCATGCGAATACTAATGACACTAACATTTAGAAATATTATGTGGTAATAAGGTCGTACGATCGAATGACAAGAATTTCACAGAAGATTGACTGCAATATGTTTTGCATGAACGCTTGGTAAAAGCACATTTTTATATGATTCACTCTTATCTATCTCCTCGAACTAAAACGAGAAAATAATATTTCATCTTGAAACTTACAATTACTAACTCAAGATCGTCGAATATAAGCTAATACTGGGTAGATATTTGTCTGATTCAAGTATATCATCGGGCAGAGTTCACTGCGATACATTATGGCGCTTTTATATATATTAAAAAATAAAAAAGGATGCGGTTCTTTTGATCACACTATTTTGCACAGCACAAGCAAATTATTAATGATTCACAATAAAAAAATGCAATGCTCAAGATTTTCCTATGATCGTGAATATCAATTTGAATTTGTAGAAACTTTTTGGCGGCTTAGCTGAGAAATTCAAGAAAACACCTCCGAAAGCTGATAAACCACCAAAAGCAGAAAAACCTCCAAAACCAGAAAAACAACCAAAAGAAAAACCACAAAAAGCAGATAAGCAACAAAAGGCCGAGAAAATAGTAACGCCAGAAAAACCAACAGCCGAGCCATCGGCCACAAAACCATACGAGTACGAAGAGCGTTCGAGTTCCCCGTCCAAAAAAAGCTTCATGGCTCGTGGCTTCAATTACGAGGGTAAACCAGCTTCTCCTGAACCCGGAGATCAAAAATCGCCGTCATCAGCGGGACGAAAAGCCACCGGTTTTGCATTTAATTATGCTCCTGGAGACATTAAGAAACTTGAGGAGCATGCTGAGAAAATTAGATCGAAAGAAGTACCAGAAAAACAGTCGCCAGTAAAAAAATCACCGGAAAAACCCGTGTCTGCTCAGAAACAAGTGTTGCCGGAAAAAGCAACCGAAAAAGCAACGGTTGTAAGCAAAGCTCCTGAAAAAGCAGCACCACCTGTGCCTACTCTAGCTCCAGTGGGTATAAAAACCCCTGGCATTAATTACGTCGAATCTGCAGCATTGAAGGAGCAGCAAAAAGGTCCTACCATAACAAAACCAACGGTTCAACCACCTGCGCCTCCTACGACAAGTCCCAAAAAAGAGTCTAGAAGTATATTTTCTACTCTTATGAAAAGCGATCTTCAAAAACCGCAACCACCAGTAGTTCCAAAAGTTGAAGTAAAAGATGTTCCAAAACAAGATGCCTTTATAAAAGCAGAAATTAAAGAAACTGAAAAACAAGCACCCATCGTTACTCCAACTGCATCGCCAGCCGCTGAAAAAATTTCTCCGGACTTCCACGTTCTTCCTATCCCTGATGGATCTCGCATCATCGGTGGAATGATTTTTTCACGCGAAGGCAGACCACTTGACCAAAGCCATTTTGGTCCTGAAGGCAGTCGCGTTGTTGATGGAAAGATAGTTGGAAAAGATGGTAAACCTATTAAAAAAGCAGATTTCGGACCACACGGAGTATACATTTCAAATGGCTTGATAACTGGAAAAGATGGTAAACCTTTGCTTCAAGAACGCCTTGGAACTGATGGTATTTCCGTGAAAAATGGAATTCTCTGTGCTGCCGATGGTCAGCCTTTGAACAAATACGTTCTTGGACCAGCTCATTCGTTGATTAAAGATGGGAAAGTCGTTGCCAAAAACGGCAAGCCATTACAGTACGTCAGGCTCGGTACAGACGGCACATACGTCAAAGAAGGTCTTGTATTCGCTGAAGATGGCCGACCTTTGACTCAAGGATCTTACGGAGCTGACGGTAATTACATCGTTGGTGGTATAGTTTGCAGCACCGACGGGAAACCGTTGCAACAAATCTCTTTGCTGCCCGATACTACGTACATCAGCGACGGTGTTGTTTATGGTCGTGATGGAAAGCCATTAGCCAGCGGTGATTTGGGTAACGATGGTCACTACATCACCGAAGGTAAAGTCTTTTCCAAAGACGGTAAACCAGCAAAACACGTGACATTTGCCTCTGATGGTTCTTTGATCAAAGAAGGAACACTCTACGGAAAGGATGGCAAATTTTTGAATCAAGGTTCATTGTTGCCAAGCGGTGCTCATTTGTACCATGGAAAACTCGTCGGTAAGGATGGTAAGCCAATCAAGCATGCTTATTACAAGCCCGATGGAAGCTTCGTCAAGGATGGTGTTATTCACGGCAAAGACGGACGTCCGCTCAACCAAATTCCTCTGATAGTCGATGGCAGCTATGTGAGGAATGGGCTACTGTACGATAGAAACGACAGGCCACTAAATCAAAATCTGTTTAAACCCGACAACATTATCATTCGGGATGGTCTTTTACTCGATAACAATCTCGCACCACTGAAACAAGGTGTCCTGGGCCGTGATGCCATGACGATCAAGGATGGTGTCATCCTTGCTAAAGATGGCAAACCCGTTAAACAGGAAAGTCTCAATTCCGCCGGAGGCTACGCCAAAAAAGGTTTGGCTCATTTCAAATCTGGAAAACCTATGAATCAAGATTCACTCCTTCCTGAAGGTCTATCAATACGAGAAGGCAAAATCGTCAATAGGGATGGTAAGCCAATCAAGCATTCTTTCTTCCGACCAGATGGTAGTCACGTCAAAGATGGCGTTTTGTACGGTCAAGATGGAAAAGTTTTAAATCAATCGACCAGTCTACCTGGTGATAGTTACATCGCTAATGGTCTAATTCACGATTATACTGGTCGACCTATGAACCGAGACTTTTTCTGTTCCGACGGATCTTACGTTGCTGGAGGTTTGATTTACGATCGCGAAGGTAAAATCGTAGCCGAAGGTGAATTCGGGCCAGATGGTAACAAAATCAAAAATGGCCTGGTTATTGGTCGCGATGGAAAGCCTTTGACTCAAGATGAAAATGGCCCCGATGGGTTGGCGATCAAGGACGGAAAAATCGTCGATTACGATGGTCAGCCCAAAAATCAATCATCGCTCTTACCCGACGGGTGCTTCATAAAAGATGGAGTCATTCACGATATCAATGAGCGACCTTTGAAACAAGGTGCTTTCAGAACCGACGAGACTTACATTAGAGATGGCTTGATTTACGGTTGGGGTGGCCAACTACTCAATGCGGGTACTGCGCTGCCCACAGGCTATTACGTCGAAGAAGGTAGATTGTACGGAAAGGATGGACAACCATTGAATCACAGCTCTTTCGGTACTGAAGGTGGTTACATTCAGAATGGTTTCATATACGGTAAAGACATGAAGCCTCTTAAACGTGCAGCTTTTGGCGACGATGGCAGTTACATTCAAGATGGATCGATTTATGGTAGCAACGGAAAACTTTTGAGCAGAAAATTGTCAATTATAACGATCAGCTATTATCGTTACGGATTGGTTTGTGACAAAGATGCCAAGCCCGTCGAAGAAGCTATCTTTAACGATGAAGGAGCAACGATTAAAAAGGGCAAGGTCTACGATCGCAATGGCAAACCATTGAATCAATCGAAGCCAAACGCGGACGGAACGATAGTGAAGAATGGTTTAGTATTGGGTGCCAACGGCAAACCTCTAAGCAAAGGACTTTTGGCACCTGAAACGAGTTACATTAAAGTTGGAAAAGTTTATAATGCCAATGGACAACCACTGACCCAAGAAGCCTTCGGCCCCGAAGGTCTCAAAGTTTCTCAGGGTACAATTGTTGACGATGCAGGCAAACCTTTGAAACACGCAATTTTCGATAGCGAAGGTAACACAATCAAAGATGGTCTCGTGACTTCGGCACAAGGTAAACCCCTGGACAAATATTACACAACCATTACCATCACTATGATCAAGAAAGGTTTGATCTGCAACAAAGACGGCACACCAGTAGCAAATGGTATTTTCTCCGAGGATGGAGCTTACGTGAAAAATGGAAAAGTATTTGAAAAAAATGGAAAACCAAAAAATCAAGAAGTTTTCGATGAAAGCGGATCATTCATCAAGGAAGGAGTTGTTTACGCTCAAACTGGTCAACCTCTTGATAAGCAAGATATCAGCATGAGAGATCTCAAGCTCGCTACGAGCAGGATAAATGTACCGAAACAGAAAAAAGCTGCAGTGGCTGTTAGTACGCCGACAATCGTTAAATCAACGATGAAACAGTCGATGGTCAAAGATCAGGAAGGCGTCACGCGCAATGTCGAAGAGAGGGTCGAGGACCTCACGCCAGGCGGTACTGGACAAGTTACCGTATCTACGCACACAAATAAGGTGAATATTACTACAGATACGACAATAAATTGTATCGGGAATACTCGCGATAAGCCGAAGACGGTCGTCAAAAAATTATTCAATAATTTCGTACTGACTAACGCTCAGAACACATCTACTTTAAGAATAATGTGAAAGGCTCAAGAAACATTCATGAAAAAACATTGCTGTCATTATGAACCAAATGAAATTTAAATTCAACAAGATTTCATTGACAGAGACCTTGGATTTGAGATGAGGGAAATATTTTCAAAGTCCTTGCCACACTGTAAAAATGTTTTATTCTGTTTAATATAAAAAACTTGTTTGAATTTTTTTTAAATTATTTTTAATAATGCTTGAAAATTTTTTAAAAATTATCATCTCTCTTATTTATTCAAAATTTTTAACTAAAAAATTGCTATGCTAAATTGTGTTGCATGCTTTAGTTTACAAACGTTTGTTTTTTTTTTAATTTTTATCTCTCACCTGGATTTTTTTACAACTTATTATTTTTGTTTTATATTTTTACATTTCATAGCAATTTTCTCATTCTCGTTACTTTTACCGTTTCGGTAGAGATATAAAATATTCATCACCAACCATATTTTTTAAAATATTTTGATGTAACTGGATATGCATGATAATTAGCCTTTCCATATTCGTTTATTTTACAATTAGTAGTTCGATGAAAATTATTAAAATTTCAAAAATGATGTTCAGATATTGATGGTTGAAGTATTGAATATATTTTAGTTGTTAGAACATTAGTCACAAAGTAGTTATATTGTAACTTTAGGCCGAGGCACCTAGTGACGAGACATCACCTTACATTTCTGCAACTGCTGTTACTACTCGTACGGCCACCATGCACGAAGATCTTGAAAAGAATCAGAAAACAAGTCAGGTATGTTGTCACAATTGTTGAAAAATCAAACATTCCATCCCCATTTCATAACTTATAGAGTAATCATAAAAATACACGAAGGAATTGTGATATATTCGTATATTAATGTAAAAAAATGATAAAATGGATAATGATTAATTAATCACTGGTTTTAGCTAAAACAATTTTTTTATATGTAGAGTCGAAAAAATCTAAACAAATAATTTCTTTACAATAATTGAATGATTTGAAAGTAAATAAATATTATTGTACGTTTTACCAATAGGTCGAGGAAAAAACCGTGTCTCACACAACCGCTACAAGTGCAACGAGACAAGAACAGCGCACGGTCACGCAGGAAGTTAGAACGACGAGCCACGTGCTATCCGGTGAACAGGTAACCATTTTTCGTTACACTTTCCTCGAGGACTTTTATTATCCAGCTAAATTTTTTTATAAGCGGTTGTCGGCATAGAAAACTTGATGTGCATACTGCATATTTAGATTTGTTTTGAAACCGTTTATTTTTTCATCAATTTTGCTCTTGTTTTTATTTGAGTACGTTTTACAAGTTTGTTGCATGCATCGTTGATTTTTAATAATACATTCTAATCCTGACTGACTCATTGATGTATTTATACATTTATAGGCAATACTGCATTGTGTTCATTTTTTGGAGTGGATTATTGTATAGAAATAACTTTTTATTATTGTTTTAAATTTTCTTTCTAAAAAACAGTTATAGAATTATTTAATAATTGTTATTAATAATGATCACCATAATGCTTAGATGTTGGCTTTATCTTTTAAAGCCAAAATCAAAAACATAACTCGTTAATAAGTTATCGGTTGTTAAAATGTTGTTCGAACATAATTTTGTTTAAAATAAAACTAAAAATCACTTCAAATTCATAAATATTCACGAAAATTCACTCACACTAAAAAACAAAAGCAACTAATTAATTATATTCATATAGTTCAGTCATAGGTTTTGAAATAAAATCGATACATAACTATTGTAATAAGCATAAATTCCGTCAATGTGCTACTACGCTCTTAATATTCATTTCTATTGTTTTTGAATTTATTTTTTACTCTTGTTTTTTTCATTAAATTAATATTTGATGCTTGGCTAACGCATTGCATGACGTAGCTACTTTCACGACGACTCAGTGTATCCAGTTCAAGCAGTGGTGATTCTGGTACTCCAATTGATCTTGACGATGATCAGCAAGCTTTCTGCAATCAGTATTATCAGGTAATCAAAACGATGAAAAGCACGTCGGTGGTGCTATTATTTTTTTATCTTTATTTAAATTCGAATGAAATTGGTAAGAAAATCGTTATTCAGTGTTCTTCAAAAAATACCGATCATGGACAATCGAGAAAAAAAATTAAATTGATGCATATTGATTTTTTAAAATTAAAGATTCATTATCCATTCATTTTATCCAATCAAAAAAGTGTTATTAACGCAATAACTCTAAAAGTCACGCAGCAAATGTAAAACACATGAACTAATATACTGTATTATATGTTGCAATAATCTTAACATTGACTTGACACTGACCGAATAAAAGATGAGTTATAATTTGTATGGTATTTTATTATTTTAATGAGTTGTTCAACCACAAGGGCTTAGCTGCTTACAAGGTAAGAATTTGTGGATTTGAGAATGCCATATAATTGCCAGAGTGTTCAATGAATTTTTAAAACTTTTGTCTACTTTTTCTTGTAAATGAAATTTAGTCGTAAAACCACTTGAAATATTTATAATGAATATATGTTAGCCTAGCTTCTTTTTCGTTATTGTATGATTAATCTTTTATATTCGGTTTAGGTTGATCCAGCCGGCATAGTTGCAACAAAAAGTCAAGTCTACACAGGCGAACCCGAGAACAATGTGACGACTACGACGATGGTGCCACTCGTAGCTACGGAATCTCGTAAAGTCGCTGTCGAAAGCGACAATGGTAGTTACAGCGCCACCGGTGAAATTGTCAGTTCCCAAACTATCTCTAGCAAAACGAGAACAGTCGAAACTGTCACAGTGAGACATTGCATTAAAAATTTTATTAATATTAAGCAATTACTGTAACAAATTATTTTAAATTGTTTCAGTATAAAACGGAGCGAGACGGAGTCGTGGAGACGCATATGGAACAAAAAATTACGATACAATCCGACGGAGATCCAATTGATCACGATAAAGCCCTTCATGAAGCCATTCTTCAAGCGACTTCCATGAATCCTGACATGAAAGTCGAAAAAATTGAAATTCAACAACAGTCCGCTCAGTAAATTGTTATTAAATTACTTGATATTTATTAATTAGGGTATCCTGGATGCTGTCCATTATTAAACTTACAATAGTACTCATATTAGATATATGGAAAACGAAAAAAGTGCTCAGAAAAATTTGACAATGATTCAAAAATGCGCATCACTTTTTGACATAATACGCTCACTCACTTGAATGTGTAAACTATAACCATGTTATATCGATGTTTACTACGCAAAGAAAAACTTATCAATGAAAATTTAGAACTGTTTTTACTATATATTCTATATAAGCAAGCGAGTACCTGCTTATAATAATTACTTTCACAAAATTGAGTGAGCTTAATTTCAAACTTGCTTGGTGAAAGAAAAATTGTAAAACTTTTTAGGGTGCCCTACATGCATGATTCAAAAATCTATTATACCAAGAACGGATTGGTGAGCAATGGAAATATTTATATAATACGATTTTAATAATTTTTTATCATCAAAACTTCGAATTTTTATTTAAAAAAAAAAACTATTTTATTTCATTTGAAAATTGTAACTCTTCCGAGCTTCAGCATTTTTAAGCGCATTTTTAAACTTTATTTAAAGTATTCATATGATACACGAATCTATATCATATCTTTATTGGAGTAGATTTCTTTTTTAAATGCGTGAAAGGTCTTACGTATCACAATGAACAAACGTGACAATTTTAGCTTAGTTACGAAATTGCCTGTATAGTACGATTTATCTTATAACAAGTAGATATTTTGACATTTTTAACAAGAAAAAAAAATAAAAAATGCTAAAGAGTCAGAGATATCTGAATATTAAATTATTAATATTATATAAATAGTATAAATAAAGAAATAAATATATAGATATATATAATATAACATGCCTAGTTAATAGGTTAAAGTAAATCTTCATCATTTTCGAAGATTCTTATATGACGTTATAATGTTAAGTGTAAACTAATAGCAACACAGAAAGATATAACTATAATGGTTAAATATGAAAATGATGTAGATTTGATCGATCTATGAGGAATATTAATTATAATGATTAATTATAATAGACTAAAAAAATTAAAAATACCATTACACACCAACAGCTAAAAATGCTTTGGTCGGCGTATATGTCTAAATTTAGCTTTAGACTGTGTAGCTCTACCATTTTAAATGTTTTTGTTGATTCAAACATATTTTACTTTATGTTTTATTGTAATCCAATATATAAATGCAGCGATATGTTTAAGATGACTTTTATATCATATTTTTTTTAAATTAGAGTAATGTTATACGAAGAAATTGTATGATAATGATTTCAATAACTACGTTTTCATATTTTATAATTTCAAAGCTGCAAGTAAATAAAAATCATTGCAATTTGAAGTGTATAAAATCTTATTTCATAACTCACCTTATTTATAAAACTTTCTTTAATTGAATTTGATCGAGTTTTTGAAGGGTTGAGAGAACATTTGTGAAATATTTTTCTTAGGAATATAATTTATTTAAAAAAATATTTTTCTGATATATTTGTTTACATAAAAGCAAAATTAGAGCTATTAGAAGGGTGGTGGTGGAAATGAAAAATTAGGGTTTTCAATTCGTACTACTTTCTTCTTTCGTGGATTTTCCTTATTTTTCCAAAACGGGCGTGGTATAATATGATTATTTTTCACTCCTTGTACCGAAGATGCTGGTAAACGGTAATAAAAAATGACGATAACTTCATTACGTTATTGCATACAATATAAAGTAAATTACCTGACTTCCACGACGGAAATACTTCAACCTTATTGTCGTCCATATCATCGCCTAGATCCAAAACTGGAAATAACATGTGAGCATTAAGTTTGTTCATCATGGCCCGTGACACTATATCTTTCATAGCGGGAGGCAAATTTAATGAACCTGTGAAAAAAAATATTCAAAGAGAAACTAGTAACGTTGATGGTGTATCACCTAGATTATAATAAATATTATCAGCTGATAATATATACTAACTCGTTACTTCCTCGCTTAACTTTGACTCGATTTTTCTTTCGGAATGGTGCAACTTTTCTATTTTAAAATTTTGCAAAAATACTCTCGAACTTTCAGTTACGTATTTCATATCAATCATCACTAAAAGAATAAATTGTGTTTTTACGAATGCTTGAAAATTGGATTATGTTTGTTTTTATCACCTACCGAGAGAATCGCTGTTTGCAATCAAATTTTCATAGTAGTTGTGAACTTTTGTCACTGGATTACCTTGGACAAACAAATTTTTCAAACTTATTAATGTGCTCACGGTCTCGGTTAAATTTTCAATATCGCTGATGCAATTTTCCTTGGCTTCGAGCGTAATTAGTCTGGTAAAATTTTTTATCTCGTTCAAAGACGTGAGCTTGTTATTCGATACGTTCAAATGAGTCAAGCAACCCTTGAAATAATTTCATTTTTAAACAATTCCATATTTTTCTATGTATTATAATAGTACAACTTACGGATAAACTTCTCGCTGTTCTGAGCTCAAAGCATAATCGTTCCCCAGACGCTAAACGTTGCTTTTCTATGTGTAATTCTGATAAATTCGTCAACTTCTCTAGTCCTTCCACGACGCTGATATTATTATAGCCTAAGTAAAGTTTTTTCAAATTCACCAGACTCTCTAGATTTTCGATTTTATTTAGTTCGTTGTGTTGCAAATAGAGATGCGTTAAATTCGTAGCAAATTCTAAATTTTCAATTTTTTCGATTGAATTTTTCTGCAGGTAGATTATTTTTAAATTTTTACATTCGCTAAAGTCTCCCTAAAACCATTAATGGGTCATTAGTGATTCATTAGTCTCCTTGAAGTCATTCATGCTATTTAGTGATATCATTTGTAGATTTTCACATACTCACAAGTTCATCGATTGATTGTTCGTTCATGAAAAGATGTGTTAATTTTTTCAAGCAATCCTTGTCTAATTCTTTCGTTAATGATTTTTGGGCCAACTTTTGTAGACACTTTTTTTCAACTAGCGGTGCCGTTAATTTAACCATGATGTTGTACGATTAATATTTTATGATGCGGCCGATTGGTATTGATCAAACTTTTCCAAATTTGTATTTTGTCAGTGTCACGCGTAATGTATTTATTTACAACGTTGAACTGCGAAACAATTTCTTCAATGCATTTTAATAATCAAAACATTTTTTATTTTATTATTTTAATGTATGAGTGATAACTAATAATCAATGAATAAAAGAGCCGACACATTCTCGCTGTTTGACACGAGATCTCATTTTGTGCAAATGCCGCGTTTGCACGGCGTTAATAATATTGTCGTCTGCTCAGTTTTACTGCCGGTTTCGAACGACGTGTGTTTAACTTGTGCTGTCAAGCTATTCTTTAATCAAACAATATTTATTCAGGATGGATGTGGATTTGTTGAGGCCCGGGACGGTGCCCATATCACCCGATACGTTGCTGTGGTTTGAATTTCTACTGAATCCATCGTTATTAAAAACTCACATTACCAAAGCATCTCCAGGTTTATTGATACTTTCATAACCTTAACGATTTTTAACAAAATTCAGAGTTACATTGTTATTTTAAAATTAACAGATCCTTCACCGACTGAGCTTATGATCAAATTTATGTCAATCGCTGCTGAGCAAAAATCAGAAGCTAAACCAGCTGATAATAATGATACCAATGATGACCATACTCTAATGCCTTCCAGTAAATGGACTTGCAAGCAATTGGCTCTGAAAATCTTGTCCTTGAAAATAGCTGCCTATTTGAAATGGGATTGGGAATATTTACAGAAAAAAATACCTTTAGTGCAGCAAATAAATCTAATTCAAGATTTATATTATATTACTCTAAATCTTACTGTTCAAGTGCCTAATGTTCCAGAAATTCCTCTGAACAATATTACAGACACTGGTCTGTTTACAGTGGTGATCTACCATAGATGGGTTTTAAGGGCAATAGTTTATAAAGCTCTAAGCAGATATTTAAATAAGCCAGTAACCATGTAAGTCCAAATTAACGAGATGTTGTAAGATTGATGCTTTTTCAATTAAAATCATGAATTACTTACAGTACTCCACCAAATCAGGAGGCTCATTTTGCAATGCTGGCACAAAATGAAGAAATTGTTAAGAAATTAGAAGCGCATGTTGAAACTAGTATCAATACTTTAAATGCAGTATTGCAGCTAACAAATTTGAGTCCAAAAGTAATGAGTTTTGACACGTTTGAAATGTTAACAGAACATAGTTCAGAAATCAAACAGAATTGGGATAATGTTATTACAATTACTGAGGAAGAATTCAAATGTCAGGTAATAGTTTATGTATTTCATGGCAATGGTTTGATTTTTTTTTAAATTTGCTAAAAAGATTACAATGATAATATTTTTTCAACTTCTCCAGATAAATTATGATTTAGGAGTTTATTGGATACTAAAAGAAAGATACCCTGAAGCTCAAAAACATTTTTTGTCAGCTAAAAATTTGTATGACAATCTTGATAAATCTAAAGAAATGTGTTATTGTCATATAGACAAGGATACTCTAGAAGGATTTTGTATCGCTTGTGATATACAAGTAGAAGGCAAAAAACCTAATTTATTACATCGTTTACTTATGTCTATAAAAGATGGATATTCGGTTGGTTTTATTGACGTATTTTATAAATTTTCATATGCAGTTTAATGCTGAGATTTAATATTTTCTAGAACCTCATTAAAATTTTACAAGAAGATAATATAATGGAAGAAATACCAATAGTGGAAAGGGATAATTTAGAATTGGATGTTAAAGGTAGCATGGAAAATGGAAAAATCACTGTGAATCAAGAATTTTTATTACAGATTCAGTGTTTGAATATGGTTAGAAGAATATTAGCTGGAGAACCAATACTTGGTGACACTGCAAATGATATCAAAATGGCAGGACCTAAAGGCTTGGAAACACTCTTCTGGGTAAAATTTTTTGATTATCTTTGTTCAAAATGTGTTAACTTAATATAATTTTTTATCAATCTTTTAGGCATATGATGGCATCATAGATAAATTGACAGAAACTACTAGAACTAGAGTCAATCAACATTTCATTTATCTTATTATCATATCAGAAATTAAAGGTCTTGCTTCTGAAATTTTAAAAAGACCTAAATATTCAAAATTATTTAATGACGAAGAACTTGAAGAAATAAAAAAAGAAGCAATCCCTGAAGAATTGGAAATTCCAAAACTATTATTAACTGGAAAATGGGATGATAGCTGGTCTGCTAATGTCAAATTAAAAGGTATTAAATTATTTATTTATATAAATTATATAAAATTAAAATAACAAATTCAATTTTTTACAGCTAAACCTCAGAGGGTTTTGTTCAGTTTAGAGAGCCAATTAATATCTTCTTATGATCCACAAGAAATTCGAGATTTAATAGTAGAAATAGGTAGACACAAAAGAGGGCCAAATATAGAACCAATGTGGCGCATAAATAATCATTGGGAAATACCCATTCCTCTGCAAAGTGTAATTTGTTCGCTATCAGATGGATTTTTAAAAGACTATGCTTATATTTTGCTGGCAAAAAGTAGAGAATTAGCTGGAGTCAAAGATTTCTCTGGATCAATAAATTTAATAAATATCATTGAAAATGAAATTCAAAAACATTTTAAATCTCTGAATGATAATAGGCATTATCTGGGACAAGGAGCCAGTCAAGCTTCGAAGTTACTGAAACTACTTAACTGGGAAAAATTGTTAATTGATATATATCATTGTTTATACTATTGGCCTGCAAAAGGAATTTGTATGTATTTTTAATCATTTTTTTTCATTAAGGCTTGCAATAAATGCCTTGCACATTCTACTATTTATTGAAAAAAAATGTCAAATTTTAACACAAAAATTTGTCCTTAGGTGACACTCAGAGTTTGACAGTTCAGTGTAAACAGTGTTTAGAAAGTCGACAAGCTACCGATCATGTAATTCCTAGGATGGAGATTATTGACAATTGTACAGTTTTTCTCTTAAATATGAGTGAGTGGGACTATTTAATGGGATTAGAAAAACAGTGGAGCTGTTTTGAATTGGCTTCTGCTTTGAGTACTATAGCTAAGTTTAAAGGGCAGAAATTTCCAAAAGAAGCATGGGATATTATTTTAGCCTCAATCTCAACTAAACCAAGTAGAGATCAAGCCCAAAAACGTAATAGTTCTAACAATGGAGCAAATTCATCATCTAGGGATTCAATGGTTTCTTTTACTCTGCTTCGACTTAGAGAAGCTACAGTATTGAATGTTACTATATCTTTACTTGCCAGAATGCATAATATTTTACGTGATGAGTCCAGTTTAGACTTGTATGCTCCGTTCATTACTCATTGGCCTGCTAGTATTCCAAAGTACGATCTGTTTAATTCATTTTAAACCTTATGTTTTTGTATAATTTCATCATCTAATGAATTATTTGATTAAATTACAGTGCAAAACAATACAACACAAGAACAGTTGGCGAGCATTTATTTCAACTGCTTACACAAGGTTTAAGATATTATCCTCACAACGTGCCTTGGTTAAGATTATTGGGAGACTTAAATTTTGGTAAAAACTTGATAATAATCCCAACAAAACTTAATTATTTATAATAAATTACATATTAATCCATTTACAGTTCTAGGTTACTATGAAAGCTCCATGAAAAATTATTTGTTAGCTATTATAGTAGCTACTGATTATTTTTCTGTACCATCTAGAGGTCAAATTGATGATTGCGTGTACAGGCGAATGATAAAATGTTGTGCTCATTTGCAATGTTTTACGCAGTCAGTTGTGCTCTGTCAATTTTTGGAAGAAGTTGATTATACTTTAGCTTTTAAATTGGCAGGCACTGAACAGAAAACTTCTGTTCCTAATGACGCAATGGACGCTTACTACGAGTGTATATGGGATACAACTATATTAGAGTACTTGATTAATTTACATTCCAAACGAGGAGAGCATCATCGAAAACAACTTGCAGTAATTATAATTTTTTAATTGATTTTAACTTTATTTTTTAAATTTACATAAAAATAAATTATTTTCCAGATAAAAGTTATTGGTCTACTCGAGTTAAACTCAAACAATAATGATGAAATACAAAAAGAAGCTGCTAATATTCGCAAAACTAAATTCTTGCGAGCTTTATCAAAACAGTATCTCTTCCAAACTTAAATTATGTTAACTTTTTGATGTAAAAATTTGATATGATCAATCAAAAAATTAAAAGACAATTCAAATTAAAATTTTTGAAGACTAGAAAATGTACATATTAACTTTAACGATTTTTGTAGTATTACTAAGATTTAATATTTCTATGTTTTGGAACGACTCTACAAAGTCATTATATTGTTTAAATAATCATATTTGCAAAATAATAAACGTCTTAAATAAATCCAACTTCGCTGTGTGATCACTTTTTTGAAGATCACATTGATTCAAACTGAAAGTCGACATTTCCAGAGGTTGAATGATAGCCCACAAGATAGCGCTGACCATTGTGGGAGCGTAATCTTGACTAATAGGTGCTCACTGCTCACTGCTCTTCCGTATCCGTTGAGGAGTGCGATGTTGTGCGCAATGCGTAACACATACACTCTTACACACGCGCACTGACACACAAGTGCAAGGCGGACTTTGACGGCCGCAGTGAGTTGGGACTTGGGATTTGTGAAAGGTACACAGTACACACTCGCATAGCTGTTACGAAAACAAGCGCTGGTGCTAGCACGCGGCGGTCCATAACTAACTATAAAGTGCAATCGAAAGTGCCATCGTAGGACGGTCCACGAGGTGCAGTGACGGTGGTAGTGGTTATCTACGAATTTTTGTATTCAACAAGAGTCAGTTCTTCGCAGCGGCTGAAAATAACCAAAAAAGGGGCGCAGTAGCAAAATCGTGCGCGGAGCACGGCACAGCAACGTGATCGTAAAAAAGAGTTGTACGGCAGAGAGCGCGCGCCCTTATCAAGCATTCACATGCTCACGTGAATTCGATACTTTTTTACAAGTTCGAATAAATATTATTTAGTTTTCATCATTCCGTTCGATCAAAGATTTCTTAGCTAACGTGAGTATTACATCTATACTTTTATTAGTGTTCTCGCCAAACATATACATGTAATATTATAAATATATATGCAACGAGTGGATGTGTATGTGTGCTGCGGATTGGCAGTGTGACTCGTCACTCGAGTCCGTGCACTAGTGTGCAATATTTGAGACGTTTGCTCACGTACACATGCAGAATTATATATATAACACGCGCAGTCCCTATTAAGAATATCTATATTTATCGTGTACGTATTGTACAACGCGCGCAGTCCGTATACATGTGTTGTAGCAGCGCGATTCGGCAGGCTATTGTAGCAAGTATTTATCATCGCGCTGCCGTGTAGTTCGTTCGCGAGCTCTGCATTTTGCGATTTTTCGGACGCGCGTCGTGCTCGCGTACACATAACTTGCTTCATTTCGCTCATCCATTTCGTTTATTCGCCTATATTCTTCTTCGTCTCCCTCCTTCTCGGCTCATTCTCGCTGTCGCTTACAACGCGCTAGGTATATACATATATGCAACAACACACGCATTTTGCTGCACGCACACATCGCTCCTATCTTGCTAAAGGTACACGACTGATCTCATCATGTGTCACAAATACATATGCGATGTTGTGCTAGCGAACATGCCATGTATGTGAACGCACATAGCAGCCTGATTGTACCAATATACAGATCCTATGTTTTCTATTATTCTTTAATCTGGGCTATTCTGTGGGCAAGAGCTTTTGACATTTTGCTCACCGTAACTCGGCGTTAAGCTCAATGCAAGTTTTTATTTTTTGACCCAATGGTATTATATTAATTAATGATGCCTCAATTTACCTTTACCGTTTATTACGTCTAGTTCGTAATTACACTATATTCTTATTCATTTGCAATTGTCTATTCCTGTGCAGGTATTTATGTGCTAGTATGAAAAATAATGAGGAGCTTATACATATATTATACTTGCTTTTGGCTCGAGGTTTCGTTATTGCGAAACTACCCTAGATCGTATGCAGACGCGTATATTTTAGAAAAGCTCGACCAACTCCTAATAATTTTATGTCCTTTTATTTTTATTTAGATGTCGACTGGACCAGCACATAAACATCGTTACAAAAACGTCGGACTAGATTCTCAAGAACTTCGAAGGCGTAGAGAGGAAGAAGGTGTACAATTGAGAAAACAAAAACGTGAACAACAGCTATCTAAGCGGCGCAATGTTCCCAACGTGCTTGCAGAAGATGATGGCTTACCTGTCAATGAGGAATATGCGATACCTTCAGCAATTATAGTAAATATCTCAATTAATTCTTCATTTGACTCATGACTTATTATTAAAAAATTGAATTTTTTACAGCTATCGCTCAGTATAACACCTGACATGGTTGAAGCGCTGTACAGTCCAAATGTAGAAGAACAACTTGCTGCAACTCAAAAATTCAGAAAACTATTATCCAGAGAACCAAATCCTCCTATAAATGAAGTCATAGAAACAGGCATTGTACCCAGATTTGTTCAATTTCTTCAGTATGAAGACAATCATTTACTACAAGTAAGTTTTAAACTTTGATAACGAAATGAATAAATTTTAAATAATTTTGTTACAAAAAATAAAATTATATTACAGTTTGAGGCAGCTTGGGCATTGACAAATATTGCCAGTGGAACGTCAAATCAAACTCGCATAGTTATTGATGCTGGAGCTGTACCTATGTTCATACAACTTTTATCTTCACCTCATGAAGATGTTCAAGAACAAGCTGTTTGGGCTTTGGGTAATATTGCTGGTGACAGTCCAGAATGCAGAGATCATGTTTTATCTGCTGGTATTTTGCCTCCTCTATTAAAGTATGTATTCTTTATAAAAATATATTTACTATAAAAATATCATATGAATCAAAATTCAAGAGTTAATTGAAATTATTTTATTTCGTAGCTTATTATCAAAAATGCCTCGATTAACTATGACGCGAAATGCAGTTTGGGCACTATCTAATTTGTGTAGAGGAAAAAATCCTGCACCAGATTTTCAAAAAATTTCACCTAGTTTGCCTGTTCTTGCTTACCTTCTTAATCGTAATGATTCAGATGTATTGGCAGATGCTTGTTGGGCTTTATCTTATATCAGTGATGGTCCAAATGAAAAAATTCAAGCTGTTATAGATTCTGGAGTGTGTCGCAAACTTGTAGAACTTTTACTGTAAGTTGATTTTCTTTGTTTCCAAATTTTATGACTCATTAAATTTAATACTCATTTCCATAATAATATTTTTTAGGCATGAAGAACATAACGTTATAAGTGCAGCATTGCGAGCTGTAGGTAACATTGTTACTGGAGATGATATACAAACACAAATAATTTTGAACGCTGATGCTTTGCCTCGTTTATTAATTCTACTCGGAAAATCACGTGAAAGTATCCGAAAAGAAGCTTGCTGGACAATTTCAAATATAACAGCAGGAAATCCCAATCAAATTCAGGTAATAAAAACTACCAATATATATATATATATATCATAAATGTTTGAAATTTTCTATTCAATAATTTCTTATTATTTTTAGGCTGTTATTGATGCTGGAATTTTCCCAGTGCTAATTGACATTTTGGGTAAAGCTGAATTTAAAACTCGCAAGGAAGCAGCTTGGGCTATCACAAATGCTACCAGCGGAGGAACTTCTGAACAAGTTGCATATTTAGTGCAGGAAAATTGTATTCCACCACTGTGTGATTTATTGACTGTAATGGATCCTAAGATCATTACAGTAGCTTTGAATGGTTTAGAAAATATCTTGAGAACAGGAGAAGCAGACGCGCAGCAAGTTGAGGGTCGTATAAATCCTTACCCTGTCATGATAGAGGCGTGTTTTGGTATGTATACATTTTTACTATACAGTTGAAAATTTACTAGCGGAGTATGCCTTCCTATGACATGAATAGCACATTGCAGCATCTTGGTGTGCAAGTCATTTGCCTTTTACTGCATCATTATTACGAGTAACTTATAATTATTACAATAATATTAAAAGAAGGCATATCGTGTACTCATTTTTTATTATAGTATAAGAGTAAATGAATTAATCAATGAATCAGTAAACAACCATTTTGGAAAATATGATATAAAAAAAAATTAAAAATATATTTTTATGGATGTTATTCAATTCAACGAACAAGAAAAAATTCACTGGTCAAAAGCAGTCAATCATTGGTCAATCATTATATTTTGCACCTAGTGTAAAATATAGTAGTGGGGTAAAATAGGTAGTGAAAAACTGGAAGTCTCAGAGCACGTGTAATTTATCAATCTAGGCTTCGTCTCGGCTGATAATCACGTGTTCTGAGACTTTCTCTTTTTCGCTACATAGGTACAAATAAAATTTTTTGTGAATCCCCCAGCCTAAAGTGACATTTTGGTTTTGCTCAGCGGGTGTAAAATGTTACTTTATGCTGGGTTAGCACAAAAAAGTATTTATATATTTTGAGACTAACTTTCAATTACTCTTGAACATTTACAGGTCTGGATAAAATCGAATTTTTGCAATCTCATCAAAATTTAGAAATTTATAAAAAAGCATTTGAAATCATTGACCACTATTTCGGTGCCGATGAAGAAGATTCGAGAATCGCTCCTTCAGTAGATACTCAAGGTCAACAGTTCCAGTTTCAAGCAGCTGATTCTACATCACAACTACCAGTTCAAAGTTTTCAATTTTAATTAATCAATCAAAATCAAAACGTATGTTAGAAATGCATCATTTTTTTAATCGAATGAGCTATTGTCTATTTTAGAGAAAAATTTGATCTCTAAAATTCAATGTATTGTAACAGATAATGACCTTGGAATTTCTTCCAAACATTTGAACTTTCATTATAATAATTAGTACTTGTTTTTATTTTAAATGATGATTAATAATTTTGAGAAACCACTGTATAGTTAAAAAAAATTTTTGTTTTTAACATTGTTACAATATTGCGCCTCCTTACCAAGATTTTAATCAAAGTTCTCACATGTGAGCTCATTCATGCTAACTTTTTTTTTGCTTAAGAATTACTTAGTTCGTTATTTTAAGAAAAAGTTATGCAATCATTTTGTCAGCTTATAAAAATCTGAAATGATGTACTAAATTATGTATCAGTACGGTACTCTCGGACACGGACATTACCTCGTTCGACATTGACTGAAACAGATTTAAAAAAAAGTAACACTCTTGCTTACTAGCAAGTAAGAATTATGCGACTGAAGTACGCGACTATGTAGCTAATACGGATAACACTATCAGATTCGCTACTCCCTTCATTACTACGCTAAGTAGATACATGACCAATTCAACTTTTTTACTGTAAATACGTATCTAGTAATTTTACAGGCCAATCTATACAGAGTGCCCTTTAATTTATATTAAAATACGAGAAATCTTATAAAATTATTTTATATATAAAAAAATATACTTTTGAAAGATTTTTTTCGAAAAACTTTTAAAAAATTCTTCGGTTATTTAATAAATTTATTTATTCAATTATTTAGAAGAAATAATTTGTATTGTATAATGTATATTTTTTTCGTAAATTGTGCAAGTGCGAAAACTGTTTTCTTGTCAAATGAATAAAATATTTATCAAATATTTCATTGATATTTTAAATCAAAGAAAAATTAAAATGAACTTAACGAGGGTTCTGCGCAATAAAAATCCAATTGAATATATTTGTTTGAATACTCAAATCATAATAGCTTAATATGAATTTAAAAAACTTAAGTATCAGAGCATTAAGATGTTGTGAATAGGAGAGACTGTACAGCAAATAAAAAAGAAATTTTCGGACATTCTGTATGTAAGGTCTGTGACTGTATAAAATGTATTTATTATTTAGGTTCGACGATACACTACTATGTGTCTCTATACATACAAATACTATACATATATACAACATATTTTTAGTTACCGACGGATAAAATCATGAAAGATATGTTATGAAAAAAGTTACTCGTTGTTGAATATTGCCTAGTTGAAAATTTCTTTTTAAGATAATCAAGAAATAAAAATCAATTTAACGAGTACTCGCAGTCAATTTTCAACGATTTACTCGCTCTTTTAGTTAAACACATATAAATATAATATATTAATTATTTACGTTTTAATAAAACTGAGTGAGAGAGAATTTCGTTGCATGTTAAAATTGCGCTTAGATACACAGCGAGCGATGTACTTTTTAAAAAATGGCACAGAGCTAAAATTATGTGACTTCAAGACGATGTCAGATATTACTACAAGGACTGCCGACTGTTACGCTACAACGTCAAAAAGTTGATGTTATCTTAAAAAAATTTAATCCTTTACTTTTTCAATTGATTTTGATTTTAATTCAAGTGATCTTAACAATGTTTTGTAATAGAATATATACCTAATCAGTAACGAAAAATTTCAGATTCATTAGATTATTCGATTAGGATTAAAGTGCAAAATCTGTGAGCTTTTAGTAATTAGAAGTAATTGTTATTTGTAAATTACATCCATTGTAATCCAATTCATAATAATCAGTAAAGAAAAAGAAATTCACTATTGAAAAATTTCTTAGACCAAATGTGGATTTCTTTTTCTTTTCAAAAATAAATAAATTTTTGTTTGCCCTGAAAGAATTGCCAGTCAACATTGTCTTTTTTATGTTCAAATTATGGAAGTATAAATATAACATTACGACATAGATAATGAAAGTATGGCTTGATTTATTTATTACAAAAAATATTCTATGACTATCAAACATTAAATTATTATTATTTACAACAATTCATTTTTTAGTTTTAATTTTACAGTTATAGCTTACACTTTAAAACACTCGTTTTAAAAAGTCAATTTACAAATCATAGTAATATTTTTACTACACAAGTGTGTAAAAATATAACAATAATAAAAATTTTCAATTCCTTTGCTTAATTTAACTTTTGCATTGGCTATACAGTTAATAGTAGATGTACCTTGTACAACCTTAAAATCAATAGATGTCTAAAGCTAATTGCAAACAGCACACACAAATTTGTTAAATTCATAGAAACAGTTAAAGTGTTGTGGCTTTTGGTAAAGGACAATCGTCAACTGATGGTTCTGAATTTACACTTAAAATAGCTCCATCTGTGATTCTAGTTATGAGAGGTTGTATAGCATCCTCTTTAATTTTGCCTGTTAATTTTTTGTATAATTCTCTTTCCATGAACTCAAGGGGACTTTCTTCTTTATCATATTCATCAGATATTACAGTAATAATATAAATCACTTCTTCCACCAATGGATTGACTGTATCACATAAATTATGAAATGCCTTTAAAGCTTCAATGTTTATGTTAAACAAATCCCAAATAATCTAAAATTGACACAAAGTGTTAGAAAACAAATAGATTATGTAATGAAAAAATTATGTAGGAGTACTTACAACAGCTTTATTATCTTGAATGCTCACACGTAATGATTCTATTACAGATCCCATATCTGATTTGAATTTTTCTGGAGTTAGTAGTAAACTATGACTTCTCAAAGCATTACTACTAATGTTACCTAATAAAACAGCTAAACAATCTGTTGGATCTGCTTTATCTCCTATTAAAAGTAATATCGATGGCTTGTGGGGGGCTTCAATAATATTTGCAATGCTGATATAAGCATCTTGCCAAAATTGATAGTCTTGATTCTTGTACTTTGTTCGCATGTTTCTTAAACTTCTTTTAACATCTTCCAAAATAGATTTTACTTTATCCTGATGATCAGGTTCATCTTTTATAAAATAGCTGTTTATACTGGAATTTGCATTGAAATAATATGCAGCTCCAACAACAACAATCATTGCAAAAATCACAAAAACAATGTAACTGAACAATATACTTTTGCTATTTGCATCTCTAGATTTGATTGGCTCATCATCCTCATCAACATCATCAACCTCTTCATCAGAATCTTCATCTAGATCATCATCAATATCATCATTATCATCATCATTGTACAAATCTTTATTTAATGGTGATACATGTTTTTCAAAGCGCACATTTTGAAAATGTATTTTATCAGCTCCTCTTTTGATGTTGGTATTTAATTTTTTAGTAGGTGTAGTTTTTAGAGTTTTAAATTCTTTAGTTGGATTCTCTAATACATCATCCGTAAAACTGTCGTCACGATAGCTACGACGTCTTCGTGGTTCAGTCTGAAATTACATTAAAATATTAAATAGTTAAATGTAAAAATTAAAAACATTGAATGCCAAGCCTTTAAATTTTACGGACAAAGTATATTCTGCACTATAACAGTGACTTTTTAGAGCACTCACCCTTTTCATGATGGTTCACTTGGAATAGTATTGCAATTGATGTTTTGGAAAAAGAGACGATTTGAGCCAAGTGTTCAATGAAACATTTGAGCTCAATTCCAAAATAAATGATATCTTTACACTGCGTTATTTATAAAGTAGGTATTCCGTATTCGCGCAAGATGCAGGCCGCAACGTGATTCTATATCTATACACCGATTGTTTTATTTTCATATTCGTGTCTGCTGCACGCAAGGTCCGCGTTGGGTACGTAAGTTCAGGTAGAGCAACTGTCAGATTTGGCAGGCCACTATTTTTAATACAGATAGTGATTTTACTGCTTGCCAGATTAGTTTGAATGTATAACTTAAAAAATGTCCGCTTAGCGCACTTGATGTATTTTGAAGCATTTTTCGTACTTGAGCATAATTTTTCTTCTGCGTTTATTAAAATATCACGCATAAATAATCGTTTCAATTACAACATGAACAAAATTTTGCTTTACCAACCTCAAGAAAAAAAATCCTCGACTTAGTTGAGCTTCTCTCATGTAAAAACGAAAAACAGCTATACTGTTGTTTAAAGTGCAGTCGGCAAGTAATAACTGTGAAAGTAAGTGTTGGAGCAGACGATAACTTTATGACAGATCAAACTATCCCTTCGGCGCCTTGCAGCACCGACAGTTGGACAGCTCGTTCTGTCCTTTCATTTTCGATATTACTCAGAGATTAATTTTTAAGTATAATTGAGAATACAAATTTACAGAATATAGTTGTACGTATTCACTTTACGGCACCAGCAAAAATGTAGATGAGATTGAAAAGAGACAACCTGTAAAAAAATTGTGAAGGCTAGCAGTTCAAGATTGGGATGATGAACATACACTTTTTCCGATAATTGCGAATAAAATTGATTTTGTTTGATTGTCAATGATCGTGTCTACGCTTTTCATGTCGCCGGCAAAATGTGTTTTGCAGTTTTCAAAAGAATTTGCAGCTGGGGGCCGCTCGTTGCTCTCGGTATGTATACTTTTCTATTGAACCTAGATGATCGTACAGTAAATAATTACTTTTAGTTTATAAAAAGTTTAAGTTAATTATTTAACAAATCCCTCAAGAAAATAAATTATTATAAAAAGATGAATTAAAAATTAATTTTTATATAAATTACCATTTTAATTTCAGCCATAATCAAGTTAATTACTTCAATGACCCTACACTGCTGCAGAAATAAATTAGTCTCAAATGGAATAGGTGTTACAGACCCAAGTTTTATTGCATTCATGATTTTCAGTGGTTTGACGTTATATCATTTTATCAACTCTGTTTATGAAGGACCAGGTTATCTACCATACAAATGGATGCCAGTAATATTATTTTTTGTTACATAAAACAGTATTCTTCATCATTTTATTCATCAAACCTGTTCTTTGTTTTAGGAAAATTTTAATGATGTTAAATATCTGCAAGCTTGCAACTTTTGCAATGGATACAAGGCTCCTAGATCTCATCATTGCAGAAGATGTAATGTTTATATCTATGCTATTGAAAAATTATCTAGTTAATCTATTATTTTTTATGAAGTTATTAAGCAACTCAAACTGTTTTTAGGCAATCGCTGCATATTAAAAATGGATCATCATTGTCCATGGATAAATAATTGCGTTGGTCACAAAAATCATGGATATTTTACTGCTTTTTTGGCTAGTGCAGTGGTTGGTTGTTGCATCTCAACTTACATACTAATCAATTGGATGATAACTTTACTCTATATGAGACAAAGGTTTCCATATCAATTTCCATCTGTATTGGTTTTATTTTTAGTAATCACTAGCATTGGATTTTCTATTGGAGTAGTTGTTGCAGTGGGAATGCTTTTATATTTTCAAGTAAAGTAACTTTATTAAATGTTTTCAAATTATTCAATTCTAAAAGTAATATTTCTAATTTTTAATATTTTGCTTTGCTAGATATCATCTATAGTTAAAAATCAAACTGGAATTGAAAGTTGGATTTTAGAAAAAGCTAATTATCGTAGATCCACTACGGCTGAAGAAATATTTGTAAATCCATATTCTAAAGGCTGGCTTTTCAACATTAAGCAAGTGGTTTCTTGGCATTGTAACGCTCCAGGAAATGGAATTGACTGGCCTGTTGCTGAAGGCTGTGATCAATATACTTTAACTGTAAGAATAATTTATAAATTTAATAGTATTCGTCAACTCGTTTAAGACAAACAATATAATACAAAAATTATTTTTTAGCGAGAACAATTAGCTCAAAAGTATGAAAAACGGAAACGTGCGAGAAAATACAGAGTTATAAAGAAAGCTACTGGATCATGGTGTCCAATTAGTCATGGTTTCAAAACCTTATGTTCGCCACCAATTACAGATGAGGCTAGAATTAAGCTTGATGTAGGAGATTTAGTTATAGTAACTCGATGGCGAAAGTATGTTATCAATTTACATAAGAGCGTTATTTTTACTGAAAAGCATTGACAAATCAATCAATTCTTTTACAATTATTTTTATTACAGTAAGTGGTTGTTTGGGGAAAAAGAAGGTGTCAAAGCAGTTGTTGATGGCAAAGATAATCGAGTTCGAGGCTGGTTTCCGCGAGCTTGTGCCATACCATTGACCGAAAGACCAGAAGATAATGACAATGACGCATCAAACATGCATAACTGTGCATCAGATGATGAAGTGAAGTACTTGAGCCAAAACACATCGAGCTTATCGAAATCAACCGAGACAGACCCAGTTTCTCATCATTCAAAGAAGAGAAAAAAAGATAAATGATACCTGAATTGGTTTAAAAGAAAACAATTAGAAGAAGTCAATGGAAAAGAAGGTGTACTCATGTAATTCCGAATAATTTTTCGAAATGGCACGTTCGCTATAGTGAAAATATTAAACAAGGTACAACTAAACTGAAATAATATTTTGTGTAGAATAGATAAGCTATAAGAATTAAATGAAAGAAGCGAATCGCGCGATTAACTTTTTAATTTACGTATAAATCAGCGAGTCATTTAAAGTAATTTAAATTATTTATAAATAAGTATTTCCCGCATAAATATCAAAGTCGATCCCGCAACGTATAAAAAGCAAAGGCCAAAAAAAGATCAGCTTAGCTTTCGTATGGCCAGCTTCGATTTAATGCACAATTGACCAAAGGCTTTTTCTCTCTTTGGCGCGCGCGTACACGTACGTTTCAATTGTGTGTGCTCTTGCGCGCGTGCATATGCAATGTGTATAATATCGGTCGGTGACCTACTTGCATATTATCCTCGACGGGCCAACGGCTCTCTGTTCACTCGTGCACCGCTGCCTTTCATCGCTATTAAGCATTCACACCTCTGAAAGAGTAGCAGCAGCAGCAGCAGCAGCCTAGCTAGGCGTACGTATAACACGTATACGTATACACGCGTCCGTGGCGAACAATTTCTCTCATCAGTTTTGTCGCGCGCGAGCATGGCAGCGGGCTGCGGGCTGACAATTTCGCTGATTTACCTTGTATGCGCTTTTTGAAGATTCTCCGCGCGCGGGCCTCTGCCGATATTCGCGAATCACTTCACGTATTATCGAAGCAGCGGCACGCATCGCGCGAAGCACAATTAGGGGTCGATTATTGTGCCACACCCTGGCCGCGTCGATCGTACATTCGACGAGAATCATTCATCGGTGCGGGCTCGAAATACAAATTTCAACTTCCATCTTTCAACTATTTTCCATTTTTTTGTACAATTATTTACTTAGACAACGGCTCGAGTTCGGAGTATCGAATAAGTTTCGAATAGATGCGTTGGTTGTACGACAACTCGTGCATGTAAGGGATGTCGAGCGAAAACGATACAAGCTTTCGCAGATACGTATCGCTCGTTTCCGGTCATATGTATCGGTACAACTTCGAATGCGTCGCATTCAACAGTCTTAGAGCGCGCTGATAAACTTCTGTAAGACCTTAAATAAGTTTTCGCTCGCGAGACAACTTTCCATAACAGGCAGTAAGCATGACCTTATTTTCTTTCGCTTCCATTTTTGCCGAGGATTCGTTCGCGCCGAGGTATATATACTTAAATAGACACGAGTAAATGCAATCGTTTACTCGAAGCGTTCTTTTTGTAACTTTCTTTGGAAAAAGAAGCGTTTCTGAAGGATCTCGTTTGCATGGCAAAAGTTAATTTTTTCATTCCAAGTTTATTTTACGCGTCAAAATTAAATTTTTAATGGCAGATGATCGATCATCCATAATCCTGCGAATTTAACATGCGCATTTTCTTATTAAGATTCGACTGAATGAAACATTTATCACGAAGCATTTAATATTATTTTTAAAGCATTCGTACAAATAAAAGGAGTTGTATAATTCTATGATACTTTTTTATTTCCAGTTATAAATTTATATTATTTTTATATTTTAATTTAATATTTATTAATTAAATTAAGTCAATTGTTCAAATACTGTACTTGAGTGATAGAACTGAAAAAAATCCGAATAATTTATGTTATATCTTGATCCAAGATGAAGGACCATTAGAAATTCAGTCATATAATGATATTAACCGTCGAACAAAGTCAAGTGTAGTCATGTATAATCGACGTTAAAAATTTGTATCCATGTAAAAATAAAAAAAATGAATGTTGAAATAATACTTATTATAAAAAACTATGAGAAAAATTATTTAATAATTATTATAGAAAGTTTTGTAATTTTTTTATCGAACAGATCTATCCGAAGAAAAATGTATATTTCTTACATCAACGAATGTTATGTGCATCATTTAAATAAGGATTGATCGGATTATAATAATATTATGTATATCATACCAGTTTGTGAAATGTAAATATTTTTATGGAGATTTTGCAATATTTATTTTTTGATGTTTTGACATTTTAATAAATACAGTTATTGTATGAAAACTTCAAATTCGTTGACACCTTTCCTTTGTAAGTACAATATTGGCCTTCCCAAATACCGTCGTTTTACCTCGTAAACCAACAGATTAAACGTCACTTGAGTCGATTAATCGATGACTCTGTTTCAAAGCGGAGGTCATTCCTTTACATTTGCATCGTGTACAAACCATAGTACCAGTTAGCAAATTATCGAAACTTAATTTTGCCACTCGGTAAGCACGAGAGTGAAAGTATTATAATTATGCGGTAATATGTACACCGTATGGCAGTCTGAATGGCGCAGAAATGACGGGGGGCTCGATGTGCTGTATCATGCACATGAGCACAGCGATCGTCGAGCGATCCCAAGGAGACTGGACATCGCCTTTTTGATTCAGCGCTCAAGTGTTTTTACACGAGCTTGCCAGTGTCCTTTTGCCGCTTCAAGACGTAGTACCAACTCCAGTGTGCGTTGTTCGCCAAACTAAGGTGATTCGGGCGTACCGAGTCTTATAGTTTCAATTTTTCTTAATAAATATAATTATTTTAAAGAGATTTATGAAAGAAGTTAAAATTTTGAATAATTTTTTACAATTTTATCGATTAATTTTCGAGTTTTTGTTGACTTAAACACTGAAATTGGCATGATGAAAATTAAAGGATACACGCAAAGGATCAAGATGTCCCAAATGCATTCGATAGCTGTACTAATGATGGTTTTGGTGGCGGTTAGTGCCTTTCCCGACGGTGGCCCAGTTGATGCCTGTGTCAAGCCTAAGCCGAACCAACCTTATCACGGACAGACCAAGCCACAGCCGGCTTCGACCAACCCCTATGCTATTCGGGCATCGACTGATCGCTACAGGCCAGGCACGCAAGTAACTGGTGAGTTTTTTTTGTAATCATTGAGCCTAAAAGCTACCAATATAGTTTTAAATAATTCAATGAAATATTTTAGAATGAGAATAATATCCCTTTGAAATGATTGAGTCCTCTAACAATTAATATAACTAAAAATTTAAAAACATTAAATATATTCAAAATTTCATTTTTCTTTGATAATTGAAACTATTGTTTCCGTCAGTTACTTTCGTCGTAGATATTATAATGGTTTCTACAATAATTTTACTTTATTTTTTCGATTGTTTTTGTTCAAGACAAATGATTCTCGTGTCACATGCTCAAATGATCTTAACCATCCTCTTACGGCTTATTTGTCAAGGCAAATCAAAGTCTAATATAATTAATGCACTTTCGAACGTGTTATTCCTCTAGGAGAAATGCTCAAAATTTTATGGCTAGTTTTTATGATTATTACAATTTTACAAATAATACATACAAGATTTTCCAAAATTTTATGGAAGGAATTTTTGCCATTCGATGAACACTTGACAACACAATAATAAATATTTAAATACGTTTTCAATAGTTATTTAAACTTTTCTACATTTGCAATGTAAAACGTCAACTTAATTGATAATACCACCAAAAGGGATCACTTAAATCTTTGAAAACCCTATTCTGACTTATAGCATCATTTTCACTTTAACACTTGTAGATTTACTGATTTAAAAGTACTCACCATCTAGCGGTGAACAAATGAAGTGATATTTTTGTACATGAAGTCATTGAAAATTGGTCCAATTTTTTATTCCAATAGTTAAATCGTCTTTTCAGGTCATTTTAAATGTTAATTCAAAAACAGAAAAATCTTTAGAAGCAAGACAATTAATAGTAATTTATTTCAAAACCTTGTAAATAGTTATTCTTTGGCCGTTGGAACATTATTAATATTGACCATTCTTTCCGCGATTGAAATTGGGATAAAATATGTATTAAAAAGCTACATGAATGTCTAACTAATAACAGAGTCTGTTGTTATTGAACAAACTGATAACACCCGTAAATAATATATAAAACAAAAAAAAGTAGTTTCGTTTTAGAAAAAAGCTCGATAAATGTAATAAAAAATTATCGTATCAACTGCAGCTTCGGTCTTTTTTATCAGTTACTTGATTTGCCAGGATTATTGAAGTTGAATTATAAATTTTCAATTTATTGCTTGTTCTTCCAAAGATTTTGATGTCTCCGATTTCGATGAATAAATTATAAAAATGAGCTTAAAAGTAAAAAATGAATAGATTAGGTAAACTAACATCTCCTATTATCATATACAATTGATCAATTTACTATGAAGTTATTTAGAATTATTAATCTAAACAATATGAAAAAAAATGGGTTTATTAATATAATCCCTTTTATATTATTAAAAAAATAAAATAAAAGGCAGTCAGATGTTTTAGTATAATTAACGTTAAATTTTATAAACGAGCTAAAAGTGGGTGAAAAATCTTGGTGGTAAATTTTGACCGATAATAAATTGTCAGAGCTTACGTTATAGGCTTGGAATAAATGCCAAGCGATTACCCTTTCAAACGAGCGTTTGGAATAAATAAAATTTCGCAACGCGCGAAGTATGCAAGTTAAAAGTACAGCGGCAGGTCAGCGCGATCGCGAAACGGAAAAATTCAAGTTTATAATGCAAGTGCGTATATACTTATCAGGGCGCTCGTGCAGTATAATTCATGCATTTATTCTATTTCGTCTATGATAACGACGATTATCGCTGATTTATTATATAAATGTCGCTCGCGCGCGCGAAACCGAGTGCGCAGATTTAATTATAACGCGCGGCAATGAATATTGATATTGATAAATTAACATATGAACCGAATATCAAGAAAGTGAATATTCATCAGCGATGCGCGCGCTCGCGCGAACGGAAATGAAAAATGTATTTTTCACATACATCTGTTAATTATTGTTATTATGCACGCGGATGCGTAACGAAATTATGCTCCTCGCGAGTATAGGCCAACAACACAACGAATGCACGTTTACACGGTCACGGCTTATAATTACGGCGCAACGATATGTGGATACGGCGTCACATGCAGTACATATAGCAGCTTCAGGTATAGCCCCGTTCCTGCGCAGCAACTGCAGCAGCTATTATTCTCTCTCGATTGCGTATAAAAGGAATCTCTCTCTAGGCCATTAGATAAGCGCAATATACGTAGAGAGTTCTCCGCAGCTGCAGCTGCTATCGCGTACGGGGGGGTTGCCCCTTTATATATACGTATATACGTTATAATGTATATAGGGAAGAGCTTTGAGCTACACATAAAGCTCGAGATTCCAACGAGCGCGTCGTCTATGCGCGAGATCGATTTCGAGCTCGACTTACTTATATATCGCACGATATATAGACGCGCGACGTCGCGTAGTAGTAGTTTGCGGCAGCTAGAAATTACATCGCTTTAAAGTCTCTGCTACGGGTATATCGCTCAACCTCATTTGTTATTGGCCTTATACATCAACCACTTGCAGGACGATGTGTGTGTAAGAGAGAAAAAAAAATCAATGATAATACGGCAGCCTCGGTACGCTGCGTGCGTTAGTTAGTTATTGCGCGACTACAAGCTCTTACGGCGCTGTATAAATTACATTCAATCCGCCACGCGATATCATCTGCTTTTCTGCAGATGACACCAAGACGGCCACATTACACACTTATTGCGCAAGAGCCTGTAGCAGCAGCAGTAGCAGCAGCAGCAGCAGCAGCAGCAGCAGCAGCAGCAGCAGTAGTAGTAGTATAAGTCCGTAGCTTTAGCCTTGTTTGTTTATTGCCATCGTAGGTCGTATTGCGTGTGATTTTCGAGCTCTCGAATTCGCCTATAAAGCCGAGTGTAAAATGGAAAATGTTCGAAGTAGAGAATCGCATGGAATCGTTTCGTGTATAATTACTTTACTCGTACGAGTCTCCTCGTTGCATCGAGCGATATATATAAGGCATCGTCGCACTTTGGCGTGATACATCCGTCCAAGGACTCTTCGCGCGAGACGCATTATACTTTTTATAATTTGATTTCTTTGTAAAAGAACATTTCTTCGGAAAATTCATCAATTATTTTTTTCTCCGCATCAATGACACACGGAGTCTTTGTCTCGGAGCTCGCATTGCACACGCATTGTCGTCGCTTTCATCTCGGCGTTGCTCTTGAAATTACATATGTACCACTCTCTATAACAAAGAGTCGAACTTTTTTATGCGGATGTTTTTTTTCTTTTTTTTTTTGAAAGTACAAATTTAAAATACCGAAAGTGGCTGCGGTAGCACAATGCAACGGCGCAACTGCACGCAACGACACTTTTTGTTCATTCGAAAACTAATTGTGCTGTATATACACAGCAGTGCGCGCAGCAGCTATACGTATTCGTACACGTTATTTGCTTCGACGAGAGTCCTTGAGGTTCACAACGACTTCTGCAACTCTAAGCTAGAAAGTCATAGCTATAAGAGAATATGTTTAGGCTTGGCGATGTCATACACACGGCGTGTATCGCGCCTGTATTACGGCTCTACGTACCTTATATAACTGTATATAGCTGCCGTGTGTGTATGCGTATATATGTACCTGTGGGTATACATATGTGTGCGATGCAGTTCGACGCAAGCCCACGTGTGGATTAGAGTAAATTATTATTGCTGCCGAACACGCGGCGCTATTTAATAACGTTGAGGATTATTTTAAACGGTTTTTTTTCTCTCTTTCTTTTCGAGCTCGAGGCATATGCTTTGTGTACATTATCGATTTCTATATATGTATGCAATAATAGCGTATATTATAATGTACCCGCTCTCGCATTTATGTAAAAGCTCGGGGAGTAGTCTTTTTTTCAGTTTCATTACATTACGATGATATAATATAACGATATCGATGTATCTGGCTGCAGCAAATATGCATCGCGTAAACAATAAGAAAGAAATTTATGCGTATACGCTCGCGATGAAAGCGATCGCCGTTAGCGAGTCATTTCTCATATTATACGCTCGCGAGATCGTGCCATTTGCATGCGCACATGCACGGGTGTGGCGCACGTACCTACAACCGACCGCCTGCTACTTGCGACCCGCGAAGGTACACGGGATCGATCTAATCCAAGCAGCTTCGAGTATAATTACGCGGACTGCAACTTGTTTTTCCCGCAGCTCTTTTTCTAACCGCCTATCGTATGTAAACTTCGCTCGGAAACGCAATACTTCAATTTCTATAATACTTTCTTTTCTTCGCAGTGCGAGTCGAGGGAGCGAGCAATTTTCAGGGTTTCTTCATCCAGGCTCGCGACGCCCAGACCAACGAGTGGATCGGATCGTTTTCGAAAACCGCCAATACCAAAGCCCACGGCGAGTGCAGCGCGGTCACGCACTCCGATCCTCGCGACAAGAAGCTGGCTACCCTCGTCTGGAACGCGCCCAACAACAAGCAGGGCAGCGTTTACTTCACGTGAGTCGGATTTCATTTTATCGGCATTTTTCACGCGGTCGTTTTTATTAATAACCAATCGGTTTTCATTTCAACAGCGGAACCGTATTGAAGGACTACGGCACTTACTGGGTGGACGTCGTTTCGCAAGTCGCTCGCAAATGATTGCACAACTATAATCAACGGAGTATAATACTTTTATTTCGATTTAAGTTTTGTATTTACAACACGAGAACAAAAACATTTTTTGAATGGCTTATTATTTTTATACATAATTTCAACATAAGCATTGGTTATTTTATATTATTTTTTATTGTTAATTATGAAGTGTTACATGAAAAATGATTTTTTATCGTTTATTTTTTCAATGAGAATATTATTACGTTGTTATCGCAAGGATTTTCCTTGCGAATATTAATGACTTTTTTTATTTGTACATGTAGAAATTATTACATTTATGTGAGATGAATAGAATAATTTTTTCTTCGCTGATTATTACTTCATTCGTATTCGATTCCATTTCATACTAGACGTCTCAACGCGAACAAATATTTTATTCAAGTTTCCCACACATTCTGACTAATTAAATAGAAGCGTATTTTTTTCTTTACAATAAAAATTAAATCAGCGTATTTCAGCACGGAAGAGAAAATGTAATCTCGACGCGTATTCATATGAAGAATTTTCCTTTAGTTTATTCAATTATTCATAAGCTCGCTTCATCCCTAATGCAGACATATGCATATTGAGATTATGATCGGGTTAAGTCATTGTCCCTCGAGTAAATGCATTGATTGGATTTAAATAATTAATTAAGCTCGAACCTCAGGAGAATCTTAAGGGCGCGAGAGTTTTGGTTGAAAATATATATGAAAAATTTTTTTGGAGAATTTGACCTCCCGAATCAAAGTTTCTGTAGGTCTAACTCTTGAAAATGAGCTTTTTTTTTAAAGAAAAAGACCAAAGTCTCGAATTTTTATAGTGGCTCGTCCCTAATCCCTGATCGGTGGCTAAGCATGACATGTAAAAATTTGATAATCAATACCTTTATCATCTAGTTGCTTTTATGTCTTTTTAAATATCTATAAAAGTGTAATGAACATGATCAAAATAATCACAGGTGGAATATCAATATTCTTTCTACATAAAATGTTTAATATTGAGTAGAATTGGAGTAGTATTTGAATACTACTAATAGAATGCTTACTATTAATTAAAATTATTTCAACCCAAATATATGTTTGCCGCGGACGAAAGTAAAGAACTTTTCATAAATATTAAGAACGAGTAGGTGCACAGCAGAGATCCGAACAAATGAAGCGCGCATCCAAAGAAACAAAACCTCGTCGAGAGGTCAATGGAAGCAGCGTAAGTAGTCGTTTTCAGTATCGTGGCAAGCGTTGAAAATTCTCTCGAGTCTCGACTAGGCGAGCGAAGACGTCAGCCTGTCTCGACTTTCTTACCTTTTTTTTTCCTTTCTTGGCTACAAAAATACACCCGCAAAACTTTCGTTCGCCTCTTGGGTTGGTTTTTACTTTATTTTTTTTTCTCTCACTGGCGATTGCGTCAACAGGCTAGACGCGAAGGCGTTCTTATTTATTTAATTAAATTATCTTGGCAAAAAATGTGAATAACGGCAAAGTCCGTGCTTTATTACGCAGGATTAATTAGTCTTTATTTCACGAGATTTCAACGTTTTCTCTCGAATGAAGTATTTATCGATTAGCCGTATAATAAATACATAATGATATGCATATTATAAGTCATCATATATACCGATACACGCGTGTTTATATGCGCGGTGGCATATAAATTGCTCAACCAACAGCCGCATGTGCAACGCACGCCTTTATAAACTTCGCGGTCGAAGATGTAGAAGAAAATAAATGGAGCAGGTAAAAGTGTGCCAACGCGGTGTAAAGGCATGACACGCACATCTATTCATGTATGTAAAACACGATTTTTTAATGCTGTTTTCATTTCTATTTCATGTGCATCTTGGCATGCGATAAAGATATTATGGATCATTTAATACGTATAGGATTTGCTTCGAACCAGGTAACGATTTCTAGCCGTTAATACGTATAGGATTTGCTTCGAACCAGGTAACGATTTCTAGCCGTCTCTTATCAATATTTCATAATTACGTATAACTTACAGCTCTTTTTTCAATGAAATGAGACAAGCGGATCAGACAAGTCGTAATACTTTGTACTATGTTTGAAATTCTTCATAGTCATACCTTTCTGTCTATACTAATAGGTACTCAGAAGCATTAAAAGCTGCAGATTAGTAACTAAAAAATTGAATTCAAACACCCACTCGGTGGTCATCTATTGTACTTGCCACTTATCGCTTTTGTCTGACCAAGACTAGATACACGTTTGAATAATCCTAATTACACCTTGGGGGCTTCACATTGTAATATATTGACCATTTTTGGCCTAAGGTGTGAATAATGCTTTAAATGTTTAATTTAGAACGTTTTTATGGTGGTCACATATTAAGCCAAACGTTTCTCTCAAATATACAACATGACATTCATGTATGCATCTAGCGTCATTAGCTAAGTTGAGCATCATCGATTGTAAGCGATATGTCATAATTCTGGCATGGTATATTACCACCACTGTCACACTATAATCACCACGGAATTTTATCGAAGTCATGAGTTTTTTTTCGATTACAAATATATTCGAGTATATCTTCACTGTTCGATACATCACTTTTAATTTTTAAGTCAATCTAAGATAGACGAAAATTTATTTCACGTACGTTTGAAGTTATCAACAAATATTTTAATGGCTTTATAACGATCGAATTGATTGGAACTTTTGTAGGAAAGTATTCGGTTCTTTTTGACGTTTTATCTACCGGCGTCATTAAAAAAAATTTATCTAAAACAGTACAGTATTATTCTGGCTGTGGACAACCCTTAAATAGGAAAGGCTTGAACGAAATGTAAAGTTAAAAAAATATCAGAGGGATTTTTCTAACCATTCCCGTTACTCTTAGAAAAATACCTTAGAGAAATGTATCATGTTCATGCCCTACTTGCCTAGCAAAGTAAAGTTTGTTTTAATATAATAATTTTCGTGGGAATTTTTGAATATATATCCCGGTTACTACAAAAATAGTAATTTTTTCTGAAGGTATTAGTATACATTGAAAGTTTTCTGGCAATTAAGATTTTTCCAGATTTAATCACTTTAAAAGTTTTTGCGTCTTGACCCATTGATGGCTTAATGAAATGTGCACAATCTGAACGTCACTGTTTAAATGGTTCGCTCTAAAAGTTACGACATGGATGTAAAATTGTTCAAAATTACTTGAGAATGCAGAGAAAAATTTAATGCACGAAGTATAAAGAATAAAAAATTTTTAAATATTTTTTAAAATTTGTTTCATTTAATTCGATTTTTATCATAGCGTGTAAGATATTAATTCTGATTATTTTGTTAAAATTACCTTAAATTATAACAATGCCTTTTTTAACTTATAAAAACTGCTGAAATGAGAATCAAGTAAACAAATGAAACATTATAAAAATGATTCGAAAACGCCAATGTATAATTGTGCGAACGACAGTTCAAAAAGTGCAACTTATTTTTCAATTGCTCTCTAAAAAAATAAAACTTTTACAAATATTTGTAGGTGCATTAGTCGATGAAATCGGTCAGGTTTCCTTTGATTTCAATATATCGGCGGAATATTTATTCGACCACGTGCAGCTGTACACGCATACATATCAGAGCCGGTTGGATAGAAAAACCTGTTTTATGCGTGGTTTAAAAAAATTGTGATTGATAAACGTGCACCAATGAATATAAAGTAAAAATAAAGCTGGTATATTTTTTAACGAAAGAAACTATAATAAATGTTGGAGAAACCTGTCACATGGTACTTATATACACAGCAGCCACGAGACGATGTGCAAGTCAAATTATGCTTATACGATCAATCATTATTATGTTGCCGTAGCATTAGAAACTGAAAACCGTATTAACAGACGTCTGCATTTAAACTACCAATTATGACGTTTTAGCTGACTCTGGGGAAGATTCAAATTTTGCATTCGACTCCGATATATGCGTATTCAAAGAACGTCTCGTGAGAATAGAGCTTCGCACTGGAACTCGCATACGATCTTGGGCATCTTTTCGGTGTTCATCCTAATTCAAAAAAAAAGAAAAGAAAAAAAAAGAAGCCAAAGATGAAGATTTTTTGTCTTTTACGAGATAATATTTCTGGTGCATCAGCGCTGCGAGAGCCGCAGCGGGGAAATTTCAAAAATGCCTGGCATTACAGCAAAATGGAAAATGCTTGGCATTTTTTCATTTCAAATAGGATTTTTACGAGTCTCGGCACGCGGAAATTATGTATACACGACGCTACACTGTGTGTAAAGCCGGAGCAATAAAAATTGCGACGCTATTCTATTCGGGCGCGCGAGTATGTGCGCGCGTGTGCACGGACTGGTAGTACATACGTAGACGGCGTTGCAGCTTTATAAGCCGTGCGCTGCTCTAGCTGTTTGGCTGGAATTGAGCCTGCTACGTTTTTATCGCGTTGTCTGTGTAGTTTTCCCCGAGTGGAGGAACTCCGATCTCGCCGCAGCCCGTCAAATTGCACTTTTTCCAAGTGTTACTACTGGTTCCCGCTAAAGTAAATGTCTTTCGGACGAGATCGTCGAATCCCTTTTTTTCCTCGTTAAACGTCTCGCTATATCGCATTATATACGTATGTACACGTTCGCATGCCACTGGCTATATATACACGTTTTGGCACGTACTTAAGAAACTTGAAGAATAATCGAGTTTTCACTTGACATTTTGCTTATCTCGCGGCTCCATACGCGCGGCTCGAGTGACTCGTCGCGCGTCGCGTGTGTGACAGCTTACATAGAGAGTCGAGAGCCGAGCTTTGGCACACGAGCTGCCACACGTGGAAATGATCAATTGTGCACACATCGCTCCCGCACGGGGATATGTGTATCGTGACAGGGAGAAATAGAGAGAAAGACCCGGAGAGAGAGAAAGAGGCAAAGCAAAGCTTCAATAATGCATGCGCATAACAGGCTTTTCTCTCAATTTTTGTTTGAAAAGAAAAACTTTTTTTCTGTCGCTTCTCACGTATTCAGCGCGCGTGTGTACAGCATTCGTAGCGCGTTTTTTCCGGTTGGATTATCTCTAAGGTGAAAATTATTCGTCCCCCGGCCCGAAAGGAAAAGCAGCGTAAGCAGTAATCCGTTTTGAAAATCGCGAAACGAGAAGCGGCGGCCTGTATAATATACACACGCACACACACACATTTATACATACTGAAGCAGTGTAGCACTCGGTCAAAGTTGAACTGCTGCTGGTTGAGTTGACGCGCGCGAAGCTGTGGCGCGCAAATGAAACACGCGCTTGTTTGTACTATATGCATGCGCATATATCCCGAAACGGCTGACTCTATGTGTGTCAGGCTCGCATGTACACACACCTATACTCGTGCACGGCGATGCATCTGTGCGCCCCTTTCTCTCGCAGCAGCAGCCAACAGCAGCAAACGCGTATGTACGTATATACATAATGCTCGCGAAAGCTCGAAACGGCGCAAAGTCATGCAAGCTCCGAGCTGTGCGAGCACTGGAGTAAGCTAGGCTGTATTATATACATATACCATGGAGCGAGGCAAGAGCGCGCACGGATACGTGTACACACACGCGCATACACACGCGAGGTGGCTGCGCTGCTGCTGCGAGCTGCGAGGGTGGCATGTGTGTAGCTTCGGCTGGTGCTGCTGCTGCCGCGGGGGGTATATAGCAGCTACAACGTAGAGCTTTTATAGTACTATAGATATAGGCAGCGATCGAGCTGCAGCAGCGCCGGCGCTTTGGCGCCACCACGACGAGTCGAGCTTGGCGCTTCTACCCTGTGTACGGTTATACCACTGTCTCTATACGCTCGTATACCCCCTGTGTGCGCTGTATATTTTGCGCGCTATATCGTATCGCGCCGAGCAGCGGGTAAGCGTACTGCTGGCTGCGAGCTTTAGCTCTCAGTACTGCTGCTGCCCGCAGGCCGGCAGGAACTCACACACGGATCGTAGTACTCTCTTACGGCTCAAATGCGTATGTGCGTTGTCGGAATATTATGATTGTGTCGATTGCCATTCGTTCGATTTGTAAACGTCGCGATCGATCGTTGATCGTCGTGTACTTTTGATAATCGTTCAAAATAGCGCGAGTGACTAAACACGTGTGCGCGAAAGCGACGATTGTTAACGCGTCGATGACATCGAACGACACCGCAGTCCAAGAGAGATTTTCTTCGTGATATATATCCCTCTCGTTCCATGGTGTGCGTCCCGATTCACGTCGACTCGTGTCCCAATAAATTATATCCTTTTTATTGCTTTCCACGCAAGCTGGGGTCGGTTTACACTTTTAACACTTACTCCCGTTAATCCGTATACGTGCTCCGCATTCAAATGAAAGATTAGCGCGGCCCGCTCGACCGAACGAGCTTGCATCAGCTGACACGATGGGGGTGACCACTACTGTACTGCTGTGTTGCTGCACTGCGGACTGTGTTTATGGCACGAGTAGAGTAACAAAAAAACTAACGACTTCGTGAACATTTTTGTAAAGTCAGGTTTATCGAGTTTTTATACATTTTTTCGGACGATATAATTGTTACGAATTATTATCGATGTTTTTTGTAAATATTATTTACAACTTTGTCAAATATTCATGCAAACAACGAAAATGAAATATTGTTATACATGATGAAATTTTAATGCTTTCACCGATATTTCGATATTTAATCAATTATTTACAACATTTACATCGTCTCGTAAACGTACAGAAACGTATATAAACTTTAAAATCTTAATTCAGCATAAATGTTCATAAAGTATATCGTTTTTTTTTACTCGTCGGAGGGAGAGGGGCTGCACACACGCGCTATACATATAGGCCATGCAGTTTTCATGAGTTAAAGCCAGAGAACCGAGCTCCTATATATAACATTTATATTTAACGCCTTTACGAGGGTTTCACGAAATTCGCATTCGTGCGGCGGCGAAGCTCTTGGATATACACACACACACGTGTGCCCAGAGCTCTTGGATCACCGATTCGTTACATTATTAAAGAAGCGAAAATTTCGTTCGTTCGGGGCCGCGGAATGTTAATTGTGACATGCGGGTATACACGTCGTATTTAAACGTATAGAGATTTAGCTCGTTAAGCCGACGTTCGATATCCACTTGAAAATCTCTCTTTTACGCGGGCTTCGTTCGACGACGTTCATAATTTAATTGCTTTTCATGTGCGATATATTGCTTTGTGCGTGCTTTTCATCGGAGAAAATTTACAGGATTGCCAAGAGATTCGAGAGGAGCGAAATGCAACGGTCAACGTTCCACCCTTCGACATCGTCACTGAATGCTAAGAGTATCAACGACAAGTAGTTTCGAAAAAAGAAGAAGAAAAGCCGACTGGCTTTGCCACACTCGATATGATGTGATTGTCAGTGGTAATTCGCGCGATATATCGCATTATTAATTGACAAAAACAATTATTTCCCTCCTACATTTCATCGTCGAATCGTGGCTCTTTGGCGCGTATAATTTACCCTGCACGAAAGTCCCTTTGTCCTTTCTACGTCGCAGATGTGCATGTATACACACTTATCAAAGTACACAGAGGCACACACGTATAGACGCGTTACATATACATAGATCGCTGCAGCAGTGGCTGCTGCAGAGTTGCCGGTAGTTTTCTGCGCTGTGTGACTCTGTGTTCTATACTGCAGCATCGCGCGCACTTTCTCTCTTTGTTTGAGCTTCAATTGTAATTGTTTGCTTTAAATGCGAGGGCAAAGAAAAACACATGTGCGGGTGATCTTGCTGTTTCTGCTGCCGCTGCTGCTGTTACTCTTTTCACTTCTGCGATAGATAAATATATAGCCTCGCGCAACTAAATCGAATTTTTGAGGTTTCGATCGCGCCAGGGTTGGTTTACCGCGCATATATACGTATATGAAACGACTCGTATTAAAAAAGTTTGGGTGCTGCTGACTGGGTGAGCTGGAATTGGTTGCACGTTTGTAAAGAAAAATATATGTCTCGCGAAAAAGTAAAAGTTTCCATGGAAAATTGCTTTAACGCGCGTACCATCGATTCTAGTTTACATTTATAATTTATCGATGCCTCGCTAAATGCTCTTGATTAATTAAGTATTCGTTTAATTTTTTTAAATAGATGTGGTTATCCTGGCGAGCTAAAATATTAAATATCATTAAGCACTCGAGAGACAAATGGATATCCATGTGCTTCGCGTGCCATATTAAGAAGGAGAATTTAAAATTCAAATCTTAGTCCACATGCCGCTTTTGCCGCAAGTATTTCAAGTGGAACAAGCGCGATAAGAATATGTATTGTGTCCGCTCAAAAGAAAAGCAAAAAAAAAGGTACAAAGTGTAGAGGCCTTAACGTGCTCGACTACTGCACTCACATAAACATAAAGCACGTAAACAAATTCTATCGCCCGAGCTCAACTCGTTTGAGTTTTTCCTTTACGAGCGACTTTTGGTCGGTAATGCTTTTTCAAAAACTTTTCTTTTTGTTCCCCGGTTTCTGCACACTATATATATTTTTGTTGCTCTCATAACTATAGCAACAGTGTAATTTTTTTTTCTTATGCACATGCATGTACACGCGTGCGTGTGAGTGAATCGGGCAGCAGCAGCAGCGGTAAAACCGCGAGGGAGCATTGCACTTCAATAATTTATATTATATAAACGCAAAAAAAAAAAGGAAAAAAGAAAAGTCGCTGTTTGGATAGGCATGGCTCTCGTACTACACGACGCGATGAATCAAGTTAATCGATAAACGGTCGCGCTACACACACGAGGCTACGTTACACAGCAGCAAACAAAGGGAAAAAGCCTAACGTGCAAATTATGTCCACGCGTCACTGTATGTGCCTCGAGATTTTATTGAATTGTGCTTATAGTCATTTTTCCTGCCATTGTATCCCAGATTTTCTCCCCAAAAGAAAAACATTTATCGAATGCTTCAATAGAGCCGAAAGAAGGATACTATCAAAGCTGATTTTGATCAATATCGTTATTTGAGTTATTTATTTTCTTGTTTTTCAAATCGTTTCGTTCTTTTGTACTAGTTATTATCGATTTCTAGTTAGTCTATAATTATGAAAATAATTACTTTTGCAACACTGTAGAGTTTTTTCCTTTAACGTTGACTCGTGAAATGAATATAATTTCATAAAAAAAATAGCGATCCTGAATATATTCCAGTAAATTTCAAAACAGTCAAGGAAAAATCCTCTCATCGAAAAAAAAGCATTTTAATAAAGTCGGCAAATTTCAACGTGCCTTTTTCATCAAAGACGTTCCGACATGCGTATTAAAAAATGCATATGTATGTCACCCTGCCGGTAAATTATAAGTACGACTCCATTATTCATTACAACTGCCGTACAGCCTGCTACATAAACACAAAAAATCAATGATTTTGAAAAACGTGCCATGTTTTTGCACCTTGCTTACATGGCGAAATTACTTTCTACCATTCACCTTTTTGTGTAAATTTTGAATCGCCACTAATGATCCTTATTTTGGTAAAATTTAATGAGGCAAGAATGTCAGAACTTGCTTAAGGTCGCAATTATTGTCCAAAAAACATCTAGGAATTTGAGTGAAACATTCAGTCATATTAATTTACGAATGTTCTAGTAAAATAATCAAAACCAAGAATTTAGGTCATTAGATATTACTTATTATAGGCGCTTAAACGCGCGCAAAGAGCCACGGTTCCCTACCTATACATGTAAACATCATCACATTTAGCGAGTCAATTGCGCACAAGTAACCGATATATGGATTATTCCCAACGGATCCGACGAATCACGTGAAGAACGGCCCTGGAAATCGAAAGGGTTGAAAAGCCGAGGAGGAAGCGGCGGCGAAAAAAAAACAGGAGCCCCGAAGAAGCGCCCGCCCGCCGCTCGGAGCTTTCTCGCCCGGGGGAGGAAATCTCGTACATAAGACACACGAGGCTGGAGCGGTGCCGCGGCATAGCGTTCCGGGCTGCTGCTGCGTCGCGAGATGCGTCGCCGCCGGCCGTCGGCCTATTCGTGGCGGCTCGCGCTGCCGCCCTTCGTCTTCTTGCTGCTGAATGCGCTGCTCCTTGCACACGGGGCCCCGGACCGCCCGACTGCTCTCGGTAAGTTGCTTTTTTTACCTCCCTCTTCGATACACCTCCTCCTCGATATGAATTCAAGCTATAGTAAAGCGGTACTCTGTAATACTTAAATGAGTTTTGCTGATTTTCTTGTATGTATGGCTATACTTTAGCGATATTATCAGTTTAATTACTGTTTGAAGAAGTTAAGCACAAATTGCGAGTTACTTCGAAGGTGTATTTGTGCCCTACCAACTGATATTATTATAGATATATGCATCTTACTGGGTCACAATCTAATCAAACTTGCAAAATAAAAGCCACGTGTATTTTATGTTTCTTTTGCATATATATTTATGCGCGATATAGATGTGGGAAACCAAAGTAAAAAATAATAATCCCCCGGGCAAAGTTTTGGCTGCTTTTTTAAGGGTTTCAAAGGCCCGTTTGCATTAATTTTCATACATTTAAATGCTCACGGAAACGTCAACGTATTATAAAACGCTCGAAATGCGATCACAAATCGAGTATCGAGGTGTTTTTTCATCGAGCGCATAAAGAAAGTAGACGTATGCCTCCTTCTCTGTCCGATGTACACAACTCATAAATAATACAGTCGCGGCAAGCTCGTAGAAATAAGACATGTATATAAGATACGCAGCATCTCCCGACTTTTATGCGTGTACATGATGCACCGCAGTACTTGCGCTAAGCTTGCAAAAACCGACGAGTTATAGTTTGAGGGGCTCGTCAAATAAAATAAAAAACTTTTCCGTCGCTGCGCGGCTCAGGGTTATATGTATTTGTATATAGAAAAAGACACTCCGCGCCAGGGAGCAAAAGTTCGCGTCTTGCCCAGCACGTTGTTGCGAAAAAAAAAGTTACTCTGGTGCATCAGCAAAAGAAGCTTCAAGTCGTTCGGGATTTTAGCGACGAGGAGAGGAGCACATTTCTGCGACGTACTCGCTGCGGTTCGCCTCGTCATTCAACTTTACCATAGAATATCAACGTGCTTATACGTAAGAAAAAATCGAATTATTTTTCGTTATACCCAATAAAATGCATGCGAAAGTTTCAAGAAGTTCCGCGAAACTTTGGCAAATAGCATCAAGTAGTAAGAATCACTCAGCGATCAGACGATTAGACAATGACATGCGCTTCTCCTTTGTACCATAACTTTCAACTTGGTATTCATTCCCCATTGATGAACAAAGATAGTTCAAAGTTGTATCTTGGCTACATAAAATAATGAATGTTATTTTTGAATAATAAACTAATTTAATTATTTAAAGCAAAAAATATTCCCAACTGCAAAACTATCGCAACATCTCAATCCATTAATTATTTGCTACTTTTTTTCATGAAAAGTTTAATCCTGACAAAAGTCGGAAAAGTACGTATTGTATAATAAAAAAAAAGAGTTATGTATAATTGATGTTTCATGACACGCGAAGGACATATACTACTACAGAAATCGTAGTAGGTAGTACATGTCAATTTCGCTGCGATTACAAACATAGTATACATCGGGGGGTAAGGTTATGTAAATGCGTGCGCAAATAATACAATTTTCAATTAACATAATAATCGTTCGTGTTATGCATGGAAACGAGACATTATACCGGGCCAACGGAGAGAGAGAGAGAGAGAGACGATCGCCGCGACAAAGTATATACAGAAGCCGATGGTGAATTCACAAATCAATTTCAATCGAATTACGTTTGGAATTTCGGGTAAAATCTCAGCTTATCCCAATTCGAGATCGGCTCTCTCGTATAAACGTGGAAAGAGCTCGGGTCAATATTTGACGCAGGCTAATACCGTGCACGCGCTCGTACTTTTTTTTTCATTCGAGTACGAGCGCGTGCGACCATCAAAGCGCTTTACGACTCGCGCGCGCGAAAAGTTCCCGCACATATTACGTTGTTCCGAAACTTGGCCGTGTTGTAGTAGGTCACGCGCAATATTTTTTTGGGTGGCTCGGCAGCGGCAGCGGCGACACGCGGACATATAACTACGTTGATTCAATGATATTTGATGGAACACAATCGATCTTCCTCACTTTGCCTCGAATAAAAAAGAATATACACATGTTACGTAACACGCGAGCTGTACAATTCCGTCTCTAATTGAAATCTTCATTAGCCAGTTTTTTACCCTCCTTTTCTCCAGCTCATTCGAGCCTCCTTGCACACACGTACAATAAAGCCACTCGACTTGCTACGACGACAACGACGAAAGAAGAAAGACAAAGTACCAACACCGATGCATACACACCACACACATACACGAGTATATCGTATAAAGGAGGATAGCACATTGCCACAGACGTAGAGCCAAACAATTTTTTCTCACTTAATTATTACCAAGACACGCGTCGTCGTCGTCGTCGCCGTCGTCGCCACCACCCGTCGTTGTCACTTTCTCGCTGCGCACGCGGCTATATACGAAAGCTTTCTTGTCTTTTATCAGCTGTATAATACACGTGACTGCAGCGAGTGGGTGCCGTAATTAGGGCATTGCCTAAAGCAACAAGAGTCCGCGGAGGCCCAGAGAGAGTGAGTGAGAGAGTGAGAGAGCCGCACAATACACGCAAATCCAGGCGATATGTATGTATTACATTGTGCACGTGTGTACATATGTGTGTGTGTTGTAAATGTGAATATTATATAATATGCATGCAGGCACGGCCGTGCGAGCTCTGCAGGCTCGGTGGCTATATTATGCATGTGATGGTACTTAAGCGCGCGCAAACAGCATGCAAGAGACGCTAATGCGGTAAAATCTACCTGAGAGAGATATCATGCATTTTGGGAGATAAAGTTAAGACTCGAGGCTTGTAATAATTGAGCTGTCACTGATAAAATATAATATATACAAAGCGATGATTGTGACTCGTACCAAACGCCATGATTTAAAATTTAAATTTTCTCCTTTTTCTTATCTATTGTTACTTCGCTTGAAGCGTACGTAGATTCGACTACAACAACAATATTGAGATTTCTTGTAAGGATATTTCGAGGAGGATTGCAATTGGTGCATAAAAGCTATTTGGTAACTTCGACCGTTATCTTGCAAGCTGCATTAGAAATACAAGTTATCATAGGAACATTGATTTCAAATTTCCGCTTTAGAATAGAGAAAATCGATTTTGACTCTCTAAAAGCTTTACACGTGGGATTCTTTGCTTTACAAATGAATTGTGCTTTAAAGGAGTAAAAAGGAGTACATTTTTAAATATCATCGTCATTCTGAACTTTAAAAAATTTGTAAATTACTGCGATTGTGCGTTTCATGAGCTTTTTTTTATGTTTACCGTTTATCGTCGAGCTTTCTCAAGAAGCTATTCCATTCTTTTCTGACAATGGGACCATTTAAAGTCTCCTTCGCCTTATACGGAGCCATGTGCGAGTCTCGTCGCGTAATTGCGTTCACGCATAGTTGCTCTAATTTCTCAGCCAATTGGAGTTGTAATTATGCCGGGCATTGGTGCGCAAGATAGCGTTCACCGGTTAAATTACTAGCAATACATCTCTGTGCTGGGATCAGCGACTCATATGAACGCACGCGATTTGCGCCAGAAAAGTCCAATAAACGTGTGAGGTTCTTCGATATATATATCACGTGATAAAGTCGTGGAAGAATTTTCTGTTCGAGTATTGATAATGTTCCTTGTATCGATAGAATTACTCCACACTTGGGAACGAACGTCGTGCTACGATCGATTTGTGCCGCTTCAAAATTCGAAAAGTTAATCTATGGGATTTGATTATTGCTTCGGTATCTTTGACAAGCGATGAGGAATGACTTGACCTGACGTATGGAATTAAACATTTTCTTAAACGTCACCAGTGTTATCAGGGCATCTAAGTATTAAACTTGTTTCAGGGATAAGAAAAGTGGAACAAATAGATTATTTTTCTACTGATTTTCAAAATTAAAATCATGTTTTCAAATTAATATCGAATTGAAAATCCTTTTTGTTTCATAAAATACTATAAGATTAAAACATAGTTTTCACTTGTACCGATAAGTTATGCGCTACACCAAACAGATATATAAGCCAAGTTTCTTCTGCAACAAACCTGCATATTCCGTTGAAAGAAATTATTTCGAGTACTATTGAGATATTGTTTCGTGGATTAAATTTATTTTTGTTCCGCAAGTCTACAAGTTGTTGAGACATTATCGACGTGCCGATAGCTGTGGTATATCTATACAGCGATGGTTTAATAGAGCGCGCTTGAATCTGATATCTGGACAAAGATAGATTTACTTTTTTTTCAATTTTGGCATTGAACACAGGAATAAATTTGTTCGCGTGCGAAGCTCATAATGTAAAAGGATTAACGCGCCAACTACAATAATTTGATAATCATCAATAATGGATTGAGGAATGTAAATGAATAGTTTACAAGAAATTTTTAATGGAACCATATGAGGTTCTGATGAATTTCTAAAAAGGAAAATGTTCGATATTTTCTTGATTGTCGAAGTAAAAGAGAAAAAATTTTTGCTAAAATTTGAATTTGAATTAAATAGAGTAGATTGGCGTCACTGGTACAAATAAAAATTTAGATTCAAATAGATAACTCAAAAGCATTATAAAATACGTAATATGTCGCATGCTCTTTATGAATCTTTCAAATTTGTTTCATTCTTTAAAAACAAAGGAGTATTTCATTGAATTTGATTGAAATTTGATGTGTTTGTAAGTAAAAAGTAATTAACGAACAAGAAGTGTGAATTTAAATTTTGAGAGTTTGTCCGTGAAATGGAATTTTTTATATTTTATTGTATTTTTCATTAATATGGTCAGAGCTCGTAAATTTTATCAAAGATCAAAAATTTTAAAAATTGTGTAATCTTTTGAACAATTCGATTGATTTAATTAGAAATATTGAAATAATTTTTGTCTAGAATGTAAGAACTTCTATACCTAATACTTGAAGAAAAAGTTGAAAATATTTTCTAAAAGCTACAGATAAATTATAGTGCTTACAATTAAATAAGAAAAATAGGAAAACATATTATGGTTCAAT